CATTAGGAATGTTCAACCACGAGGATTTAGTAGCTCAGAAGGCAAACACTAGATTTAATCAGGTAGTAACTTTGACAAAAGACAGTTTTCTCATTTTTATATGCCACGCAAATGTAAATGAATATTTTATGACTTTAATATGGACATACCTGATTTCTTAAAATATATATGTTGTGCATTGAGATAATTAGATTGTAAAATGTTTGGTTAAACTCTTTTGTCTATGTACATGTGTGACAAGACTTCTAAAGGGGCGATAATTTGGCGAGGAAGATTTGACCTGATCAGAGGTAATTCGATAAAGAAGGGCAGAGAAAATGAAAGTGGATATCTATTGGAATAGTAGCAGTTAACCAGGCCAGAGAGACAGAAGAATGTTCCGGGCAAAGTAAAGAGCATGCACAAAGCACCTATGGTAGAAGGAGCCTCCCGAGTACAAAGGTCTGAAAAAACACAGATGTGTTTGTGTGCAGCAATATTTAGAAGCCAGGGTAGAGGGTGCCAGCCAATGAGAATGCACTCAGGGCCACTAAGGGAAGAAAGCAGGAGGTGTGGTTGTCAAAGAGCCAGGAGCAAATATGTTCCAGACGAGATTACCTCAGACAACAGTGAGTGTATTGTCTCCAGGTCCATTGAAGACAAGGGCAAATTTTCACAAACCATAAACATATTTAATAAATAATTTTTGGTAATTTTTTTATCTTTATAAAGTTATTTCGTTTCGTCTTTGAGATTAATCTTCTCTTTATTTTACAAAAGCGTCAGCATGGTGTTTAACTTCCTGGTGAAGAGTGCTTCTGTCCTATTCAGTTTTTATTTGCTCATTAGACAGTTTCCTTGAACATTTGCTTCTGTCTTGTTCGCCAAAGTATTCCCATGCCAGAAACAATGTCTGAGACCTAATAAGTGCTCAGTAAATGTTTTTTTAAATTAGCTAATGTGTAAAACAAATAACTGTCCATTTTTGTAGTTTTAATGATATAATTATTCAAAATGCTCTTGGGGGGCATGGTCAGTGGCACCTGTGAACTGTCTCTGGCATGTCCAGTACCATGAACTCAGAATTTATTATTTGGCTTAATGTTTATTTCGAGTCAATTAAGTGAAAAGTACTATATTAAGTAGATTTATACTTTTCCATATGCTACTTTTTACTTATATCAAAAGTTGCATTTAGAGGAAGGAAAGATAGTACAGGGATTGAGGTTCTTTGATGTTTTGCATGCAGCTGACACTAGTTTGATTCCTAGTACCATACAGTCCCTGGGAGCACAGCAAAAAGTACCTTTCAAGTCCAGGGTGACCAGGCTAATATTCCAGGCACGGCCAAGCCTGAGCAGCATTTTATCCTTGCAGCCTTGCATTAAACAACCTACTGGGTTAGCCACGGTACACTGGGAGAGGACCTCAGGCATCATGAACAAGACTTGGGAATCCCCACCAAAATTACATTTAAACATAAGGTTTAAATATAATGGAAATTGAATTTGACTAGTATATTACAGTTCATAAAGGCTAATTTTAAAAGAGAATCTCAAAAATATGCAGGTATCATTGTATTTCATTGAGTAATGTAATGTTTAAAATATTTCATTTAAAATATTTAAAATATTTCATTGAGTAATGTAATGTTTAAAAAAAATTGAGGTGAGCTGAAGGGATTTGCACTAAACTGGAGGGTATTCAGGGATCACTCATGGTGGTGCTTGGGGGACCATATGACGTGCCACAGATTAAACCAATGTTGGCATCATGCAAGGCAAGTACTTAACCCCTGTGTTACACTCAGGCCCCTAAAATTGTTTTCTCCAGTATTAAAGAAATGTTTTAAAGGTTGGTACAGTTTTTTAAAAAATGTATATAATTAAGATCAATTGTGGCATCTCATATTTTTGCTGAGTATTTAGGCATTTGAGTCAGACATGTCTGATATTACTGAGAGCATGAAATTGAAAGATGTGGGGGTAGTGAGTGAACTCACACTAGGGTGAAAGCACTAGATTAGGGCTTGAGAAGAGATACTAGAAAAAAAGGAATAGGAGGGCTGTCACAGGGATGGGGATGGGTGATTTGGTGAATGATAGACTTGTGGTAGCAGGGTGTAGGAGTGAGTAGGTGGGAAGGGAAGAAGGATGCCTAACCCAACATTTAAGGAACATATAAAGTGTTTAGCATTATTCTGAATTTGTTTGTTTTGGAACCACACTCAGCATTGTTCAGGGCTTTTTAACAGGGACCACTCCTGGCTGGCTTCGGGGACCATGTGAGATATTGGGGACCAAATTGTAGTCAGATGCATGCAAGAAAAATACCCTACCGATCGTATTATCTTTATGGCCCCTATTCTGAATTTTTTTTTCATGCATTATATCACTTAATTCTTGCAGTAGCACTGAGAGGTAAATACTCAATGTGTACTCAGTTATTTTACTGTAATTAGCAGATATTCCTCTCACCTGTAAAGTAGGTTGACAGTGTCCTTTCCTCTTAGGCCTTTGTCTTCCATTCCATTCTGTGTGATATGTCATACCAAGACAGTCATCCTGGAGGTGACAGGACCATGTGACTCTCTCCATAGACAGATACCATTCAACTTGAGAGGGTCATTTCTAGGTATTCATAAGTGAGTTTGTGAGATTTCTTTGTTGTTGTTGTCTCTAATATGCTTATTTTCTGAAATTAGAAAATTATAAAGTTAGGCTGCATAGGCTTGCCTATTGGAACCCGAATTGTGTTTTCTGTTCATCAAGAAATGAAACAATCGAATGTCACTCCCACACAAAATCAGCCATAATATAAAAAGTTCAATTTGAGTCTAGGGATGCACTATACGCCTAGACAGCTTCTAATCTCTTTCTTACTTAAGAGTTACTAGTCTTATCTTCCTTACCACATGGCAATTCTCTTTGGTGGTGGTGGTGGTGGTGGATTTTTGGGATCATATCTGCCAAAGCTAAGGGGTTACTCCAGCTCTGCACACAGGAATTACTCCTGGCGGTGCTCAGGGAACCATATGAGATGCTGGTGGTCAAACTTGGCTTGACACACAAAATAAACGCCCTACTCGTTGTACTACTGCAGCTCACTGTCCCCAACATATGGTAATTCTTAACAAAAGGCCTGAGGGGTTATTTGAGCAGCCCAAGCCTAAAGAGAAGTTGCTCATTACTTTTGACCCCTGTACTCTTTCCTGTAGTACAATGGGAAACCAGGTCATGTCAGCCTAATCATCTTCATAACTAAGACATTATTGGAAAGAAGATTCCTCTTACCACATTTCATTGTCTTTCTGGATCTGTGCCTGTCATTTCAAAACTATTTTAAAGAGAAAACAACTTCAGCAACTGTATAGTCTTAAGTAAATCAGGCCACTTATTCAGAGTACATGGTTCCATTTATATTTCATTGTTAAAAATATTTACAATAAACAAAAAAGAAATCATCATTTTAGTAGGCTCCGTCAGTTTCTAAGTATGAAAGATAAAAGTAAATATATAAGATGAATTCTTATCGAATTGTCTTTCCACCCTTTTCTGGAATGAGGAAAGACCTGAGCCACCCTTAAGCCATTCGAAGTGAGAGACAAAACCAGAGTGTGGGAACGCTCTATTGTCAAAGGCTATGATGATAGCCTGAGTGGATTTCTAGACTTGTATGAAACTAGCTTGTTTGGCTGTGCTCTGGAAAGCTACATGCTGCTGATCATGAAGTCATCATTAGTAGGATGAGGCGTGTTCATGAAATCATTGCTAGAAAAACATGAGGGCAAGAAAATATGGAAACAGAAGGATGGCAACTCTAGTCTCATGTTGATGATCCAGGCTTATTTTATGAGCAAAAGTTCAATGATAAATTGTATGGATATGAAGGCAAGAGAACAGCTCATTATGTGTCATTCACTAATAAAATGGAGTACGGGACTACAACATAGGATGTAAGGCATACACTGTCCGATGATACTTTAGGATTCTAGCATGTGCTCAATATTACAGTAACTTGGGCCCTGTCTGGGCATTGGGATGTTACATGTCTTTAAGAATGGAAATGGTGTCAATGTCCCAGGTTGGTTTTCAAACAGGTTTCTCCAAACATTCTGGAGACAAACCAATTGAAATGAAACAGACAAGTTTCTCCTTTGTGGTCAGACTTCCATGGCTTAAGCCAGTAATTGAAAAGAATGGCAGAAGAATGAGTCAGAATGCTCTGTCATTACTTTCTGACATGCTAAAGGCATAGTGCTTTTGTAGTTTAATCTTCCAGGTTAAGTGCTGCAATAACTCATCCAGTTTAAATACATTTCAAATCAAGTAAATTCTTTTCCTTTTCATTTCTCACCACCAACTCTGGTTTTGGCAGTTAGGAAGGAAGAGTGAACGCACCACTAGATACCCAAGCAACTGACTTAGAAAGAAAAAAACGAGAAAGATTTTTTTGAAAAAGTGAGGGAGGGCGGTTAAGAAGGCCAGTTGTTGTTTTGGGTGATGGGTGAGTTTGTTTTAAATCCGTGGCCCACATTTTCCCAAGCTCTAAGACCTCAAACGTTATCTTTCTTTTCAAAGTAACTTTCTCTTGATTTTTACATTTCTGCAATCCTTTGTGATCTTAATTAATCCTGGTCTTTAACCTCTGGTACTTTTTCCCGGAATCACCGTCACATTGGGCAAGAACTGTCTTAAAATAAAACCAAACCCCAACCAGCTTAATACCCCAAGGAACGTGTTGCTATCCTAGAAAGGTCGGTTTGAACAGCACTAGGAATGTGGGTAGTAAATTGGCTCCAGAAGAGCTGTAGAAATCTCTCCCGGGGGGAGTCAGCCCTTCAACAGGTGGGCTTTAGTCTTACAATTCAACTTCTCCAGCTCCCCTGGGGCCTCCGCTGATCAGCCGGTGACCCAGAGGCAGGCAGGCCCTGGAACGCGGGACAGGTCAGCGCGCAGGGCGGAGTCGCGGCCCGGAAACGCGCAGGGGCCCGCGAGCTGCAGGAGTGAGTCTCTGTACAGTCAGGGCTTCTGCTGGGCAGGGCCAGCGGCTAATCCTACAGGCGGACAGCGGGGCGGGGGACAGGGGCCTTATAGGTGGAGTCGACGGCTGCGAAACGCCGTGCGCAGGGGAGAGGGCGGCGGCCCAAGGAGTGCCCCCCTGGAGCGTTCTTAAAGAAACGGAGACCTAAGCGACCGGCGAGGAGGGGCCGCCCGCTGTTGGGGACGCGCCCGGAGCCCCACCCTCGGCCCGAGGAAAAGCCCCTTGGGTGAGAGGCGGAAGCTGCAGAGAAACGCAGAAGAAAAACGCTTCTGCCCGCGCTCCGGCTCCCGCGCGCCGCACTCCCGCAGCCCTTCGCCCCGCGCGCACACCTGCGGCGGCCCTTCGCCCCTCGCCCTTTCGCACCCTCGCCGGCCACCAGCTCCCCAATTCCTCCCATGGACGCCGCGCGCCCCCACTGCGCCCGGAGCCGAGCCCTCTGCTGGCCGCTGCTGCTGACGCTCGCGGTGAGTGACCGGGACCGCCGGGGGGCTGGGGGGGTGGGGGGGTCCGACGATCGGGGTGCAGGGGTGGGTGGGCACGGCTGGAAAGTGAGGGCTAGCGGGCACCGCGGGCAAGTTGGCGGTGGGGAGCGGAGTTGGAGCGGGGCGCGGGGTGGGGAGGGGGGATGGGGAGGGCGCACTGAAGGGGCCTGGCGACCCTGGCGCCGCGCTCCCTGGGCCAGGAGCAGGGCGGCTCTGCTCGACGTTGGCAGATGCCATCTGGCTGGCAGAGGAGACAGACGGAGGCGAGAGCCGCCGACGCCCTTGCAAAACCGTCGCCTCTGGGGAAGAGTGTGCGCGCCCGCGCCTTTCCACTAGCGCCGCTCGGGATTTCTGGGGTGCGTGGACCCCCGTGGGGGTGCGGACCGCTTTGGCAGCGCGAGTCTTTGGGGGTACAGGAAGGCACTTACTTAGGTGCCTTTCCAGGACTTGGGCTTTCTTTGCGTGTGAAGAGGAAGAGGGACCTTTGTATCCTTTCTCCTGTTTATTACTCTGGGTAAAGTCATTACTCTGTGTGTTAACCCTGGATCTTTGAGAAATGACCGTCCGGTTCTGCCTCTGGAGGCATCTGGTTTCTGCTCTCTGCCCTCCGACTCCAGGTCTTACCCTCGTCTTCTTATTTATTTTGGATGTGTGTGTTGAATACTTCATTTGCTTATTAAAATTTATTTGAGGCACCGTTTGCAAAGCCACAAAACCAGCCTTCTTGCCCATCTTTAAGAACCCAGTCGCGTCTCCATTCACTCCTTACAACAACCCAGAGCAGTAGGGGTGGCCTTATTTGGGCCTTGACAGATTTCCTCAGGAGCGAAGTTGGGTCTTCTTGGGAGACTACAGTATCCAGAGTGGGGAGCTGCTCCTGAGTAAATGAATTCTTCTGTGATTCTTAGGAAGGAGAAAAGTTCAGTAGATGTTGTGCAAAAGCACACTCTGACCCAGAGAAGTGACAGCTAGGTGATGTCACCCTGAGGGTCTGGGAACTTGCGAGTTGAAATAGTCAGATAACTACCTCTTCTTTGCTGTTCTAATTTTATAGTGGATTCCTTAACTTTTTAAAAAGGCAAGAGATTATAATTATTGCTATTATGAGAATGCCTTTTTTAAAAGGATTCAATGGACTTCAAGCCCTTAGCCAAATTCCTGGGGCACCTTAATCATAGAGAGTTGCTAAGTGCACAGTAATTAATATTTTACAATTGAGGAAATCAGGTGTATAGTAGGTAACGGTCACCAAGGAATGAGTCTCTGTTGGATATCTAATTATGTAGACCCTTTTGAAAGCCACTAGTTATTACCTTTTGAAGAGACCTTGTTATATGATGGAAATAATAGAAGAGTTCAATAAACATTGTTCCGTTTCCCTGCAAATGCCAATAGACAGACCTGTCTGGGCCATCTTAATGCTTTAGAAGAGAGCAAAATTAATAAATGGAAATTGGTTTGTCCTCATTTGTTCACCTTATATTTAGCTACGGGGCTTGATAGGCTGGAAGTGGGGCTGAGGGAACAGGAGGTCCCTCTCTGCCCTTGTCTCCTGTCACATTCTGGATGGAAGGCTTCCTGTGACTCCCTCCAGCTCTCAGCTCTTTTGCATGTCCCTGCAGAGCTCTGCCAGCCTCAAGTGGCTGCTCTGGTTGTGTGACTCAGTTGGGATAGATTTATAATGACTATTTGATTTGTGGATTTATAAAGATGATCTTAAATAGGAATACTTGGGGAGACAGCCTTTGTGTTTCCTGCTTCCCATAATTCCAAGTAATCCAACATTCCACAGAGCAGTCTTTCCTGACTTCCTGCTATTGCCTCATTTCAGGAGTCTTCAGTACTTTAACTCTGATTTCTTCCTCAGCCCCAGATAAAACACCCTCTCTGAGATGATCACGCTTCCCACTGTTAAATCTAATCACTCTTACACACTTTTATAGAATTCTGTCATATTGATTGTGCCCTTTTTTGTTTGTTTGTTTTGGGGCCATATCTAGTGATGCTCAGGGCTTACTCTTGACTTTGCACTCAGGAATTACTCATTACTCCTGATGGTGCTTGGAAGGCCATAGGGGATGCTGGAGGTCTAATCCAGGTTGGTCCCATGCAAGGCAAATGCACTATCCACAGTGCTAGCACTCCAGTCCCCAGACTGTGCTTTCATTCTCAAAATGTCACTTATTTTAACCTTCCTGACTACTTAGATAATTTTGTCCTCAATTTATATTCTATGTCATTTATATTCTCAAGTTATATTATTGCTCAATTATATTACTATTTGAGATCTATTAAACAAAAAGCTTTTTTGTCTGTCTTCCTATATGATGTGTGATACAGGTTTTCTTTTTTAATCTTCCCCAATAACATTACTTTTCTTTTAGTGTCCAATATGTCCTTTGTGACACTACATCTTATTCCTCAAGAAATCTGGGAGCTATTTTTCCTTCTTTACAGATGTCCTCTTATAATCTGTTAAATTCCATAAAATCCACACGTGGAAAAAACTCCTGGAGTCTTTGCTTCTGTCCTGCAACTGTGCTATTTCTTTTTGATATTACAAATAATATCACAGAGGTTGGAGCAGTAGTATAGGTGGTAAGGTGTTTACTTTGTGAGCAGCTGACCAGATTCACCGGATTTGATCCTAGGAACCCCAAACCATCCCTGAGTAAGGCTAGGAGTGACCCCTTAGTGTAGAACCAGGAGTAAGTCCCGAGTACTGCCAGGTGTGGCTGACAGACAAAAACAAGAAGTGCAAATAACATAACAATGAAAAATGGTGTGTGTCGTTTAATGTATGGACATGTATCAATAGAGTAGATGAGTAAATTGCTAGAAATAAGATTGTAATTTAAATATATCATGATCTTATAATTTTGGTACATATTGCCAGCCTCATCTCTTTTCCATGGAGAATGTATATGATTAGTCTCAAAGCTCTATTTTTGACTGCTTGATGTAGGCAATCATGAGACAAAAGACAAAAATGAATCTATATTTTATACAGAGCACTTAACTATAAATAAAAGATTTAAATTGACATATGATGCATGCCATTAATAAAAGAAAAGATGTTAAATTCCTATTTAAACTTGAACTTAAGACTTACTGATAGTTTAAATTTTAAAAAAATTTAACATTGAGAAAATTAATTATATAGAATTCACACACATATACTTCTCCATGACAAACAAAGAAAACAGCTGCTGGAGAGATAGTACAGTGGGGAAGGAACTTGTCTTACATGAAGCCAACCTGCTGACTCTAGCACCACATATGGCTTCCTGAGCACTACCAGGAGTGATCCCTGAGCATAGAGCCAAGAATAAGCCCTGAGCAACACCAGATGTGGCCCAAGAAGACATACAAACAAGCAAAGAAAAAACGTAACCAAATCACACTGAACATCATAAGCAAAGTAAAGACATAACTGATTTGCTGGAAAAATATTTGCATATGATATTTTAAAAGTTTAATATACTGAAATATAAAACGTTTATAAATCATGATAAAATCTAAATTGGAGATGAGTATGAAAAATTGTTATTGTTATAATTTATGACCTATAAAATATAAAAGCTAATATAAAATGTAACAGATTGGTTTAAAAACTATATTAAAGTGTCATTTTACATTTGGAAACATCCAAGTTTCAACAATATGCTGCTAAACAAGAACAGACAAATAGAAAATTTCGAAGTCTGTGCTTGTAAATAAAATCACAACCTTTACTGTGTTCAATTATATTAAGTGCATGTGAAAATTTTTTTTCTTCTTTTTCAATACACATGCATATGTTCCTTAATATGTCAACACTGCATGACTTTAATTATTGAGATTCCATAAAATGTCAATATTGTATGACTTTAATTATTGAGATTCCATAAAATCCTTCAATATCTTCTAGCATAATATCCCATATTGCATTTATATTTCATAATTTTCATCTTTTTCTTAATTATTTATTTTTCCTAGTGATTTGTTAAGTAAACTTGTCTAATTACATATTAAACACTGCTGAGATTTTTATTGAGTCATAAAATTAATAATATAACTTTGTAACAATGGTGGATTTAGGCTGTTGATTTTCTAGATAATGCTTTTCTTTGTGCAATTACTTTTGTATCATTCAAAATTGTTTTCAGCTTTTCCTTTACATGTGTTTTATTAAATTTACTTCTTGGCATTATAACTTTTTCTTTCTAAAATGATTTATTTCTTGACATTATGTTATTTCAATTTCATGAATGTTTATGAAGATTAAATGATTTCTCTGCTACTTTGCTAAAATTCTCTTACTACCTTGTAGTTGTTTGTTGCTTTATTAATTTATCTTAGTACTGAAATAAAATAATTTCAATTGCAAGTATTTTTTTTACCTCTGCCTCGCAATTTGCATTTCACCTAATAGCTTCCTTTTTTCTAACTCAGTTTACTGCAACGTTTGCTGAAAATGACTGATGACCTTGGAAAGTCTATCTTGATTCTGAATTAGTGAGGCTATACCTAGTGCTTTCCCAATGATGTAATTTTAGTATAATATAAAAATCATATTGAAGAGGTACTTCAATTCCTATTTTCAGGCTTATTAAAATATTAGAATAATTATTAAATTCTGTCAACTGCCTTTCAGCGTCTAAGGTAGTGAACATACTAGGGTTTCCTAAACAAATAATGGCTTGATGTGCCAAGAAAAGCAAGTATTGTGACAATGGATCTCAAGTCCATGTAGAGTCAGTTAATTCTTGCATACCCTTACATGGGATTTTGCTTTTGGGAGAATTACTCAGAAAGCTAATCTCTCAGCTTTTAAGAGTGCCATGATCTGATTTTACATTCCATCATAAGTTAAAACTTTTTAGCTCAACAATTATTTCTCGGTTCTCTTGCCATGAAGTGTTCTAGCTTTAACCTGAGTTTGTTTTATTTTATTTTATTTTATTTGCTTAGGACTCTCTGACCATCTGCTTTAGGTTGGTTAAAATAGATACAGCTGTTATTTTTAATTTTGACTTGGGATTTTGAATGAACTTACTGTGAATAACAGAATTAATAGTTGTTCCCCTTGGTCTATTCTCTACACTGGTCAGACTTAACCTCAGTCAAATTTAATATAAAGCAGCATATATAACTTACCTGTCCCAAACAAATCTTTGGGTTTTCATTATCTTTAGGAAAATAGTTTTATATACTTTTTTAAAATAATTTTTTATGTTCTCTGAATTCATATATATACTTCTGTTCCTCTTACGCTATATGCGTCACCTGTTCCAGATTCTATATTTAGATCTGTGTTGTCTCTAGGCATTTGCTGTGCTGTTCCTATGTTTGGGTATAAGCTCTACGTCCTTCTAAACATGCTAACTTGTAGTTATTCTTATGTGACTTCACCTGGTTTTAAGATGAGATTCATTGCCAGCACTCTCTCATAGTTTCAGTAGGATTATGTTTGTTTCCCTATCTGCTTCACAGTAGCGATTAAACAAATATTTGTTGAATTCCTTCATGAAGGGATGTCTAGAATACTATTGTCAAAAGTTCTGTCTGGGGGCTGGAGCAATAGCACAGTGGGTAGGGCGTTCGCCTTGCATGTGGCCAACCCAGGTTCGATTCCCAGCATCCCACATGGCCCCCTGAGCACCACCAGAAGTAATTCCTGAAATTCCTGAGTGCAAAACCAGGAGTAACCCCTGAGCATCATCACTGGGTGTGATCCAAAAGGCAAAAAAAAAAAAAAATTAAAAGTGCGGTCTGGGCTGGAGCAATAGCACAGCAGGTAAGGCATTTGCCTTGCACGTGGCCAACCCGGGTTTGATTCCCAGCATCCCACATGGCCCCCTGAGCACTGCCAGGAGTAATTCCTGAGTGCAAAACCAGGAGTAACCCCTGAGCATCACTGGGTGTGACCCAAAAGGAAAAAAAAATTAAAAGTGCTGTCTGTGGGGCTGGAGTGACAGTACAGCAGGTAGGGTGTTTGACTGGCATGCAGCCAACCCAGGTTCAATTCCCAGCATCCCATATGGTTCCTCGAGCACCTCCAGGAATAATTTCTGAGTGCAGAGCCAGGAGTAAACCCTGTGCATCGCCGGGTGTGACCCAAAAAGAAAAAAAAAAAGAAAAAGAAGTGCTGTCTGAATGCAGCCTTTCTCACCTCCACTGCTAGTATCTTAATTCAGTTCCATTTTCCCTCCCTCAGATTTTTACTGTAGCCTTCTGGAGTGCTTTCACACTTGTACATCTAGTGTCTAGTCTCACTGACTCCTGGAATGATTTTAATTTCTCACTGGCTTATACTTCAGAGCTTCTCATTCAGCTGTTGCCTCTCTTTGCATCTTGAAAAGCTATTACACTCCTTAGGTATACACTCCTACACTCCTTGTAGGCTTTAATTGATTTGCTCCTGAGTGTTCTTTTGATACTGTCTCTTATTCTTCCCTCACTGTGTCTACTACTATGCATCCTCTCCTCTCCCTCCTCTCCCCTTCCCTTCCCCTCTTTTCCCCTCCCCTCCCCTCCCCTCCCCTCCCCTCCCCTCCCCTCTCCTCTCCTCTCCTCTCCTCTCCTCTCCTCTCCTCTCCTCTCCTCTCCTCTCCTCTCCTCTCCTCTCCTCTCCTATTTTTTTTGTCCTTTCTGCCTTGCCACAGGGAGGTTAGGTTTATTGAGTTACTCCCATCACAGTAACTTCTTTTTTTTTCTTTTTTTTTTTTATTAGTGAGACATATGAGGTACAGTTGTAGACTTACAAATTTTTGTGCTTGGGTTTCAATTACACAATGATCAAATGCCCATCCCTCCACCAGTGCCCACTTCCCACCACCACAGATCCCAGCATCCCTCCCACCCTCCATCCCCCCCATCCCACCCTGCCTCTGTGGCAGGGCATTTCCTTTTGTTCTCTCTTATTGGGTGTTGTGGTTTGCAAAAGAGGCAATTGGGTGACAATAATGTTTGGTCTGTAGTCTACTTTCAGCATGCTTCTCCCATCCTGGGAGGATCCTTCCAACACCTTTATTTGGTGTTTCCTTCTCTATCTGAGCTCCCTTTTCCCCTGGCATTTATGGTTGGCCTCCAAGCCATGGAGTAAAATTCCTGTACTAATCTCGGCCATTCTTGAGTGTTAGTCTCCTATTTTGTTACTTAATGTTCCCCTGATGAATGCAATCTTTCTATGTCTATCCTTTTCTTTCTGAGTCATTTCGCTTAACATGATACTTTCCATGTAGTACCACTTGTATGTAAATTTCATGATTTCCTCTTTTCTAACAGCTACATAGTACTCCATTGTGTAGATGTACCAAGTTTCTTTAACCAGTCGTCTGTTCTCGGGTACTCAGGACTCCTTTTTTTTTTTTTAAAGCAAGGGACAAGTGTCACCAGAACTACTGATACTTGAGGCTACTGAACCGAACCCATGGGTGAACTTGAGTCTCATACAGGGCTCTATCCTTTTGAGCTATCTTTTTCCTTTTTGTTTCTGTAACTTCACAAGTGAAGTTCCCTGCTAGCTCTTTTGGTTTGGCTTTTGTTTTCCCTAGAAAACACTTTCCTGATTAGAGAGCTGTTTGTCCTCTCATTTCATCTACTTCAGTTCTTCCCTTTATCACTCTTCTTCTTTTATTTTTTCTCATAACCTTTGTATATCTCTTGCCTTATGTGGCCTTTGGGTAGTTGTACATTTTGTCAGTCTTTTATTAAGTAACTTCATGAGTCCCTCCTTTGTTCAATGCTCAGACCTTTTTATATCGACTAGCATATTGTAAATAACCAATAAATGTTGGTTATGAATTAGTGATGTAAGATTTTAATCACCTTGAGAGAATCCTCACTTATCTGATTCTACTCCTTTTCACCATCCATCCAGTGAAAATTTTTTTAATCTTTTAGTTTCCAATTGTAATATAATCTCTATTGTGTTCATCTTTAATTTCCAAAAGAAATATAATCTCTGTATCCAATCCTTGATATATAATTTAACTTGTATAACTAAAGAGCCTTTACATGGATCGGAAATACAAACTTTAACCCAGATTTTGAATATGAAAATATATGTGTATAGGTTTTATAAATAAGCATGCAAATTATAGTTAGCTATCCTGCTTTTGGTCAAACCATAGGATGATATTTATAAATTTTTTAGAAAATCAATTGTAAAGAACTGAGCTGAATTTCAGTGTGTTGAAATGTATGTTTATTGCATTAGAATTGGTTCACTCTAAATCACTCATTTATTTAAAATTTAAGTAAAATATATCTTAAAATGACCTTAACTCTCATTAATGAGGATATGCGCTTCAAGATTAGTACATACTACAAAATTGCATGCTTATTTTTGTGGACTCATGAATAAATACTCTCCTTAGCTGTGCATTAGTTTTTTCTTGGGTTTACATTGAGTCTGCTTTGCATTGGATTTAGGGTCTATTGAATTTGCACTGTTGCTGATAGGTAATTGAATTAGTTGAAAAATATTAGCAGTCACAAATTTGTTTTTGTCTTTCTTACATACATACATATACTTAGTTTTTCACTGGTTCCTCAGTTTATCCACTAACATAGTGGTGCTACTGTCTACTCCATTTTATAATTGTTAAAAAGAAACAAGACAATAGGGTAAGGAATTCCAAATTGACATGCTCTGTGAAGAAGAGAGTTTATTATTTACTTTGTTTATAATTTTTAATTTTTTATTCTTTCAATACAATTTTTATTTTTATTAAAATGCATATGTTTAATTTTATTTTTGAATTATAAAAACTCATATCAAGTTATACAAATTTATAATTTTTATAAGCTAACTTTTGCTTTTTACTTATAATGTTGACTTTCTTTTTCTTTTATTAGCTCTTAACATTTGCCTGTGATGCCTGTAAACAGGTGACTCTACATATTCCATATGAACTAGATGCTGAAAAACTTGTTGGTAGAGGTAAGAAACTACTGAGATGTATAATAAATAGCATTGGGCATAATATTTTAAAATTAATGCACTTTTATAAAGACAGATATATTATTACAGTTTTAACCTACATTATCATTTGTAATCCATATGTCATTCCAATGAAAGGAATATTGTTCTTTATGTAAACATGATTGTATCAAGGTGATACTTATTTGAAATGTGTTAATAAATAGTAGTGGTTATTTTTATTATCTTAGATCTAAGATATAGGATTTTTTCTCCTGAAATAGAGAAATAGTTTTGTATCTCTTTCTTGATTTTTGATTTTGTTTGGGACCATACCCAATGGTGCTCAGGGCTGACACCTTGCTCTGTGCCCACAGGTCATTTCTGGTGGTGCTCAGGGAACCTTATATTCAAGACTGAATCTCTGTCAGCTACAGGCGAAGCAGCTGTATTAGCTCTGTGGTCCCTTTTTCTTTCTTTTAAAGTTATTACTTTCAAAGTTTTATACTAAAACTTTTGGCATCTTCCAAAGATTTATTTCTATTTTTAAATCATTTTTTCACATTATTTATTTATTTATTTGCTTATTTTTGGTTTTTGGATCACACCCAGTGATGCTCAGGGGTTGCTCTTGGCTCTGCACTCAGGAGTCATTCCTGGTGGTGCTTGGGGAATCATATGGGATGCCGGGGATCGAACCAGGGTAGGCTGTGTGCAGGACAAATGCCCTACCCTCTGCACTATCGCCCTGGCTACCTTTTCACATAATTTAAACATGTAAGAAAAGGTCATACCAATGAGAACACAGAGTATAACTGTCTTAGCAAAGATATAGAGTTCATTAATATTTCAATTTAATAACTATCCATATTATTCCTCTATCTTTTGTTTTTGTTTTTGTTTTTGGCCTACACCAAGTAGTGCTTGGGGGTTATTCCTGCCTCATTCAAAAATCACTCCTGGTGGCACTCAGGAGACCATATGGGATGCTAGGGACTGAACCTGGCTTGACCATAGGAAGGCAAGTGCCCTACACACTGTACTATCGCTCTGGCCCCTACTCCTCTATTTTCTAACTTCAAGCATTCTCATGTTTTATTCTATAGCAAATTTCAGTTATAAAGAAAAATATTTTTGGTGAAAGTATAGGCATTGATTCACAGGCCTTATTTGAGGGCAAATAACTACTTTATAAGGATATAAAGTACATATTAGAAGCTGTATACTTATTTCTCTTCAACTTACTAAACTGTACCATTTCATAAATCTTTCTTTAAATGGAAAATTTGTAAATGTGAGTGTAATTAATTTTAGGTTTTTGGTTCTTCTCCCAAATTGAAAAGTTTACCTTTAAGATTATATAGTTTTATACTTTATATTACTAACATTTGTATGTGTGTATGTATATATATATGTAAATAATTGCTATACATGTATTTTTTTATACAGTTAACCTGAAGGACTGTTTTACATCTGCAAATCTAATTCAATCAAGTGATCCAGATTTCCAAATCCTGGAAGATGGCTCTGTCTATACAACACATGCTGTTCTTTCATCCTCAGACAAGAGAAATTTTACCATATTACTCTCCAACACTGAGAACCATGAGCAGAAGCAAATACTCGTCCTTTTAGAGATCAAAACAATGGTATATACTAAAACATAAAACTTACGTATAATGACCTATGTTCTTCACTTATCATTACCATAGACTAGATTTCCAACAAGAAGCTTTGAAGCTCTCGTATATGGGAGGTGGCATGTTTTGGTGTCTTAGAAAATGACCGACTCTTTCCAGCAGCAGTTAGAACTGGTCACACTGAAATAGAAATGACTTCTGGGTGAGCCATGGCTCACTGCAGCAGTTTTGGGATTGTCATCTTGTTTCTTTCCTTGTTCTGACACAGATCTCTCTATGGGTCCCCCTGGCTCTTCCTAGTTACTGGTGAGTGGAGGGAGTGGAAGGTGCTGAACCCCAATTTTCAAAAGCATAGACTCTCCTTTCTTTGTTTATTTCAACTCCCATGGTTTTGCATGACAATGTGGCAATTGCCTTTTTATTTTTCTAATGGTCTTTGTAGGATTCCAGTTTCCTTTTCCTTTCTCCCATATTCCTGCCATATCATTTTCTTAAGAGGATTGCTCTGCTTAGAGTGAAGTTCTTTCTTTTTGTTTTCCTTTCTTTTTTTTTATTGTTGATGTGTTACTAGATTGTCAAGCATTATTGCAATCTTGCACGTTCCCAGTCCTACATAAAAGGAAAAGCAATTCATTCAATTTGTAATGTTTCTTTTTTTTCTTTCTTTCTTCCAAATGGAGGTACTGAAGCAAAGTCATCCTACAGAAAAAGTTCTGAAACGTGCCAAGAGGAGATGGGCTCCTATTCCTTGTTCAATGCTAGAGAATTCCTTGGGTCCTTTCCCACTCTTTCTTCAGCAGGTGCGTTTTATGTTCCTTTCCCCATGAAGTCTATAGCTTCTACTCTTTTTATTTGGACACAGAACAAGCAATTATTTGAAAAATAGTTGTGTACTAATAAGTGAGTAGATAAGTATGCATCTTAGGTTTCAATAATGGGTATAAATAAATATCTTATGATTGTGTATAATTTTTTTTTTCAGTTTTAGTGTTGTAAAGGCCATTTGTAAAACCCATTTGGCATTCTCGAACTCTTGGTTCCTTTATGAGTTTTTATGTAAGCTCATGTTTTATAAAGCTGGGTGTGCTCTCAAAATCCCCAAAACATCTTCCAGTAAAAGGGATGAAATTGCTAAATCAGACTAAATGCAATGATGCAGGACATGTACATTTAGCCTCCATCTCTGCTGCTTAAGTCACACAGGATTATATTTTCTCTTGTTTTTAACATTTAGTGGAAACACCAACCAATTGGCTTCTCTTCCTCACTGTCAATGGCCACTACCATGTAGTCGATGGCTTGGCTTTCTTTTCCGTCAGTTTTTGAAGTGATGAGCTGTATGAGTGATGAGCTTTCCTATTATCCCATCAAATGCAATGTTGCCAAAAGAACATAAAAAATAGCATATGAAAACTGGATAAATTATTAGAAAATAATTGTGTTTAGTCATCCTGATATACGGATGGAGTTGGAATAAACAACTTTTGGGGAAAATGCATCTTTAATCAAGTGCCAGAAATTTATACTTATCAAGATATTTACTCAAGTACCAGGAATTCATACTTGCCATTAATTCTATCACATATTTTTATCCTATTCATCTCCTGTAATAAGAGAGATGATGAAAAAAAGCAAAACTAATTGTGGAAAGCATTTTTTTGAGTTTTTTTGTGTGTATAGTGCACTTTTAACGTATTGTCTCAAATATTGTTTCATAAAATTTTTGTTATTTCATAGGTTATTTTTGTTTTCTAAGATGGAAAATAATCATAAATATTTGTTCTATATTTTATAGCTTTTAAAATATCTCTTGATCTGGAAATCTAAGACTTTATCACATTGTTTTCCTCATGCATTGCTCTTTAAACTATTTTTTGTTATGGCTCATACTGTGTTACTGTGTTAATATTTTTTATATATAAATGTCAACTAAAGAGTTATGTACATATCAGTAAAAATGACAGTGTGATCACATAAGTGCACAAATCAAAGTTTTTCTAAAATAAACATTTGTCTCTTATGTATTTCATAATCTGCTTTCTAGGTTCAATCTGACACAGCACAAAACTACACCATATACTACTCTATAAGTGGACCAGGAGTTGACATAGAACCTAAAAATTTGTTTTATGTAGAAAGAGACACTGGAAATCTGTATTGTACTCGTTCTGTAGATCGTGAGCAGTATGAGTCTTTTAAGGTAAAGTCTAAAGTTCTTATGTTCTCTTGAAAATCACTAAAATTGGCTGTTTTGTCTCTAATTTCAGTTTAACATTTTCTTTTGCCCAAACTTTTCATAAATTCTTTGTCTCCTATCATTGGTTTGACTTGAAAGAAAAATAATTTTTGAAGACTAAATAACATTAGATTCTATTTTGTTATTATTGGAATTATACATTTGCTATATTTTTTGTAAAAGAAAAGAATTACCCTTTGAAGATTGGCAGAAAATTTCTACAAACCTCTGCATGGTACTGAGAAAGATAGGAGAGACGTTAAGTGAAATTCCGAAGTTAGGTGTTGCTGTCTTTGCAATAGGAGATAGTTAGCTTGTGATGGCAAGAGTGTAGAGTGTTTAGCTAAGAAGATGTTGTCTTAATGCTGGGGGGGACCATATTGTGTGGTGCCAGGCTTTGGACTCAGGTTGGCTGCATGCAAAGCCAGAGAGTGGTATACTGGCACTTCTCTCTCTTTGGACCCTTAATGTTGTTTTAGTTTTTCAATTCGACTTTCTTTTTTTTTTCCTTAACTCTGTTTTAATTATTTTACATCTATTTGTGTGTATTTAATTATGCATCAGTATATTAAATTAGCTGAATAGATGTGTAAACTTGAAATTAAATATTTAGCATAGATTTTCTCTGACATAGCCTTGTATCCATGTTAATATTTTTCTGCTATAGCTCTTACTAGGAAACTTAGAGCCGAGATGTATATTATGAAATCAGCAGAGGTTGGAGAAATAGTATAGTGGGCAGGGGGCCAGAATTGCACATGGTCTACCCAGTTTTAGTCCCGGGCACTGCATACAGCTTTCTGAGCATTGCCGGGAGTGAGCATCTAGTCAGGAGTAGGCCCTGAGCGCAACTGGGTGTGCCTCAAACAGCAAAAATTCAACAGAGCTGGGTAGATAGTCCAAAGGGCTAGTACATATGTGTTGCATGTGAGAAGCCTAAGTTTAATTTCTGCCCAGTCTGGTCCCAGGGCACTCTCAGTTATGACCCCTAAGCAACATGACACTAAGCACCACTGGGTGAGGCCTTCAAACCAAAATAAAGAAAGAAATAAAATCAACAGCAATAAATTCTGCACAATTTTTTTATGGGCAGTGGGGTTTTAGACAGTACTCAGGGCTTACTCTTAGCAGTGCTCAAGGGACCATATGAGATGCTGGGAATGGATCCTGGGTCAGCTCTATGCAAGCCACTAAGTGCCCTGCCTGCTGGACTATCCCTCCTTGCCCTCTGTTGCACACATTTTATAGCCATCTCATTGTGTATCCCTTTTAAATAAAGAAAAAAATTATAAGAAAACAATTACCTAAATGATACCATCAATATGCCTATATTGTTAATTAGGTCAAAGTTATATCTTAGGTAACTGCAACTAAGGAACTTAAAATTCTAGGGATTAAGGTTTAAAAGATTAGGTTAGGAGTCCAGAGCCATAGTACAGTGAATAGGGTGTTTGCCTTACACACACATGACCCTGGTTCCATCCCTGGCATCCCATGTGGTCCCCAAGCACCACTAAGACTTAAATCCTGAGTATAAATACAAGGAGTAACCTCTGTCAACAGATGTGTCCCAAGCACCAAAATGAATAAATAAATAATTGACTATGGGTGCTTTCTCGACATTTACCGATACCCAAATTGACAGTTTTTAACACTTTTTAATTGCATGATATCAGTAGAATTGGAAAACTCAGTTCTGCTGTATTTCTCATGTACTGAGTTTTAGCTAAATAAATGTAAACACAATATGTATCACATCATAAAATTAGCCAATCTTTTTGGCCTTAAGGTTGTGTCTATATCCACAACATTAATTGTCAAATGGTGAAATTCACATTGTGGTGCTGAACAGTGTCCAAGGTAATATTGAAGCAAATTTGAACCATACTTTTTACTTTATTTTATTTTTATTTTTTACTTTTTGAGTCACACCTGGCAATGCACAGGGGTTAGTCCTGGTTCTGCAATCAGAATTTACTCCTGGAGGTACTCAGGGGACCATATGAGATGCTGGGAATCCAAGCATGCATGGCCGCATGCAAGGCTAACACCCTACACACTGTGCTATTGCTCCAGCCCCTTGAACCATACTTTAATAGATTATTTTACTTTTCTGACTTTGTCCTCTTTCTAGCTCACTGCCTTTGCAACAACTCCAGATGGATATACTCCAGAGGCACCACTCACCCTACTAATCAAAATTGAGGATGAAAATGATAACTACCCAATATTTACAGAAGAAATATTTACTTTTAAAGTTCATGAAAATTGCAGAGTTGGTATGTATCTATCTTAATAATATAGAGAATGCTAATGCCTCAATTACTGTATTAAATTTTCTCCTTTTCTTCTTGTTGGGGGGTAATATATCTAACTGACAAAAAGCAAGGATTTGTTAATCAGGGTACTCTGATGTAATTTTACTCTGCCTTTTTCTCTGTGCTCTTTTCCTGGGAAATTTTCTTAATTTCGACAAGCCTTAGTTTCTTATGTATAAAATGGTATGTCTATGTAAGACTATTATGAAGATTCAGGCAACAGAGTTCACATGGGATTGACGGTACACAATACCTGAATAGTACTTTGTCTTCCTATATGAGATAAAATAAATATTTTAAGAGAATATATTTTTCAAAGATTAAGCATTTCGCAACTGAATTGAAGAGATGCTGAAGTGCTATCATAATTGAACTATTAGTCGTACTCCTGGCATGTTCATTAAGATATTCAGAATAATGCAGATATTTTCTCAGTCTTATAAAAATGGAACTTTAGAGCTAGAAAAATTTTTGAGTCTTCTAGGGAGCTCTAACTAATCATTTAATCACTATGAGCTATATAAATGTAGAATTTAAATGGACAAAGGTTCAAGAATACGTTAGAATTTTTCTGTCTTGAAATACAAAGTTCATAAAGCAGCATTATGTGCATTTATAAAATTATGCAGTAAATACAGATAAATTCACCAGATTATAAAATGTTAGAGTATCGGGATTACTTAAAAGGATATGGTAATTGATATGAATGTTCACAAAACAAATAGCCTGCTGTAAAGTTAGTAATTCAAAAAAATTTTTTTTCTGAGATAGATGGGAAGGGATGAAATAAAAGGAAGTTTGAGAATATAAAAATTCTGAAAATTAAAGAGGCTGTTTCAATATTTAGGTACTACCGTGGGACAGGTGTGTGCCACTGACAAAGACGAACCGGATACATTGCACACACGCCTGAAATACAGCATCGTTGAACAGATCCCAGCGGCGCCCAGGCTGTTCACAATGCATCCAGTAACTGGAGTGATCACCACCATGTCATCTCAGTTAGACAGAGAGGTAAGAGAAGTATTAACTAAGAAAGTTGATTGGCCCCTGGTTATTTTAGAATACCTCTATTTCAGTATTGCACCAGTAGATGTATTTTGAAATAAAAAAAATTTTATGAATCTATGAATCTATTTGTAGACAAATTATTATTTATAAATTATTAGCAGAGGTCATTAATCTTTTAGGGTACTAATTTTGAATTGTTAATTTATTCTCTTGCATAGTGTATTTTACAAAATACAAAAGAGTTTGTCGTATAACCATATTATTATATTAAAAGTAAGAACTGTATTAAAAGTAAAAATTTTATTAAAGAATCAAATATGAGAAGGGAAGAATTTTTTTTAATGTGCAGAAATTTATTATCTACAGAGCACAAAGTTTCTTTTTGTGTCCCATTTCTTCTCAAATTATCTTATGCACATTGTTCTTTTATAGGTTTAAATATAGTTTCTATCTCTCTAATCTTGAGTTTACCATTTTTAGTTTATAAAATTTATAAATCTTTCTTTGGAAAATTTCAGAGGTACCTAAGGTGAATATCTCAAAATTGAACTAGTTTTTCTTTCTAATCATGTTTCCCTTTCCATGTTTTCTATTAGAAGTTAACCAGTTTCTTACTAATAACTTTTCTGTTGTCACTGTGAAGTCAGCTTCTTAAAATCATTTTTATTTCCTTTGTGATCAAATCACTATCCAAAGCTTGTTGATACTATCTCCAAAATTTGATTACCTGTATATTTGGTCCATTTCCACTGTAACAATCCTAGCTTAAATAATTCATTTATTTGGTCATTTAAATATTATATTTTTTACCGAGCATTTTTTCCATCAGAATTCTCATAGTTTATCTGGATTAACTACTATGTCTGTAATCTCTAATCTTTCAATTCAGTAATATCAGGTTTAATGTATTACTTTGATTCTTAAACATTCTACCTGATTCTTTTCTTCTTCGTCTCCTTATTTCTCATGGACAGTGATATTCACGTATTCCTTTATGCACAAATATTTTTGAGGAATCTATTTTATGTGGGTTATATTTATTAATATCCATTTTTTACATTACTACTTAAAACTAATAAAATTTCAATATTTGCCATTTGAAACAATAAATGCTGTGCTATATGTTAACAAAAATAACATGATTAACCATTTTTTCAAATAATTTTTTAGGAAATAGTTTAATGAGAACAGTGATTTGCATTTCCCATTGTCCTTTAGTAGTTGATTGAATTACAACCAAACGGTTTTTTTGGTTTTGGTTTTTGGGCTACACCTGGCTGTGTAATCTCTGGGCAGCTAGGGAAAGCCCTGAAGACTCTCTCTCTCTCCGTCCCTCCCTCCCTCCCTCCCTCCCTCCCTCCCTCCCTCCCTTCCTTCATCTATCTGTCCAGGTTTGGTCGTCTCAGGCTGCTTCACAACCCGGGGCTACCCGTGCCATGGGTGGATGAATGAGGAAACAAGGGCCACAAGGCTGGTTGGTGATCAGTGCCATTTATTCCATTGTCCCCACGAGGCTGTTCCAGTCTCACTTAAGTTTCCCATTCTAGTCTCACTCTGTCCCTCATTCCCATTTCTTCCTCTCTTTCCTGCACATCTCTCTGCACCTCCTCTTGCAACCTGATCTCTCTCTCTGCACACTCCTGCTCCTGTATTCTTCCTCTACATTCTCTCCCTCTGTCCCCCTTGCTAGTTTCTCTGAGCTCCATGTTGCTGCCCTGCTTTCTCTCTAGTCTCTCTCCAACTCCCTCACATTGAGGGTAGCCACACACCCTGTCTGGAACCAAAATGAACATATGAGTACCCTTCCTTTGCTCAGGGGCAAAATACCACTTAAGGTGTTTTTCCTCTCCTTAGTCCAATAACTTAATTAACATCTTAATTCTACTTCTTAATATTATTTTGTATGAACACAGTAAGAGATACATTGAGTTTTTAGGGTTGCTCTCCTGGGGACATCTTGACACAGACTCAGATTACAGTGCACAGGCTGGATTAATCATTCCTAATCCTAGCAGGGTCCGAATCTACTTATTACTTTTTGGATCATGGCAAAATTTGTCCATGACCATGCTCTTAACTTTTAGTTAAGTATTATAGCACTTTGGCCAGGCCTATTTCGACACCAGCGTAGCTCACTCCATCCAGTCCTTTGTCAGTACGATGCTTTTGGGGGGCTAGGAAGTAAGGGCAACTAAGGCTTAAATTGAGAGAACAGATGTCCCAAATTTACCTTCATTCAGAGTCAGTTAACTTCCAAATTACAAAAGCATAGCATTAACTGTCTTCCTGTGTCTATACAAAAAGGACATTGCTCGGAATTAACTACGCAAAGGACTTAAGGAGAAGAGAAAAGCAATATTTAAAAGCTAGCAGAGCACAAAGAAAGCAGTTACAAATAAACACAGAGGAATGGGAGCACTGTTATGGGAGTAACCCAATAAACCTAAGCTCACTGTAGCAAGGCAGAAAGGACAAACTGATGTTATCCTACACCTGACAATGCTCAGGGGTCACTCTAGTAATGCTCAAAGGACTATGTGGGTTGCTGTGGGCGATAAGATGTTCTCCAAACTTTTTAATTGGCTTAAAGCTCCAATATATCATTGTCAACAAGTAAATTATCCCCCATTTGAAGCGACAGTTTCACTTTTTGCTTGATAAAAGTATCTTCCAGGTAAGTTAGTCTGAATAGTCATGTGCAAATAATATCTTTGAAACCAACAACAATTGCTAGTGCAGCTCTTAATCCAAGCAGCCACAGAAGTACTTTTCTTTGAACAAATACACTTTTTGCACAGAGTGCTTTATGCTTGCCTCCTATTCCTTCACATGGACTGTAGGGTGAAATTTAACAAACTTGAACAAAAGTAATCATATTTCTGCATCTGCAAGGACATCCTTAAATGAAATTGGTATTTGTTTACTTTTTATAATTTTGTTAATTTTTATAATATGTGCTGATGAAGAATATATTATTTGCTGCATTGCTGAGTGAAATGCTATTAGTTCTACATATTTTACCAGATAGTCATGGAATTTATGTATGTAGGAAAAGCAAATTGTAAGACAAGTATTCTTTTATTATCAAGTCATAGATAGATCACTTTGATGGAATCGGTTCATTAAAAACTTGCCTGGCATGAGCAGGTGGGCTGGAGAATGACTCAGTGACTGAAGTGGCTGATTTCTCTTTAATAATTGAACTCTTATTTTCATTTCAGGTGATTGATAAATACCATTTAAAGATAAAAGTACAAGACATGGATGGCCAGTATTTTGGATTGCAGACCACTTCAGCTTGTGTTATTCATATCGAAGATGTTAATGATAACTTGCCAACATTCACACAATCTTCTGTAAGTACATGATATTAATTTAAGAACAATGTGCTACCAATGCAACCAGTGCAACCAATGTTACTTGCTAAGTATGCTCATCTTCATCTATGCCTCACAATTCCTGATGAAGTATTCCCAATCATATGAAAGCAGTTTGAAATTAGGGTGTAAGCTCATAAGCTCATGTAACCATAACACTCTCATAATTAGAAGAATTGAACTTATTTCTTAGGATGTTCTGTTTGTGAGTTTCTAATGGAATATTTTGTTGTTTTTATTATTTTAGTATGTGACATCAGTGGACGAAAATACAGTTAATATTGAAATCTTACGTGTTTCTGTTGAAGATAAGGATTTAATCAATACTCCTAATTGGAGAGCTAATTATACCATTTTAAAGGGCAATGAAAATGGAAATTTTAAAATTGTAACAGATCCCCAAACCAATGAGGGAATTCTATGTGTGATTAAGGTAAGAATAAATGAGTAGTTATTTGTAGTTTAGAATGCATAAAGTAGCATAATAAATAAAAGAGAATAAATAAAAGAAAGAAATTCTAGAAAATATAGGTATATATAAATATATATAGCTCAGTAAAATACATAGGTAAATGTAAATTCTGTTTTATGTAAATGATGATATAATGTATTTGGGGTAGTCATTTATTAATCGAAAACTTAAAATATTATATTTGTGCTCAGTAATATGTATAGCATCCACTTTAGAATTGCCATATCAAAACTAACACAACTTTGGTGCCAAAGTTCTATAGTTGAGTCAAAGCCACTGCTTGATTATTGAATTTGCTGAAGGATGAGTTATTCTTAGTTAGACTCAGAGGGAGACAGTTTATACATATGTTTATCAGTACCCATTATATCCTTAGATTTCTGGCAGAGAATGGGAATTTCCAGCTATTCATATATATCAACATATATATACATACATATGTGTATATATAGAGAGAGACATATATATCTAGGAGAAGCTGGTTCTCCTTCTTGGAGAACTCGAGAAGCTTCCGAGAGTATCCTGTCTGCACGGCAAGCGTATTCAATATGCCAAAACTCAGTAACAATGATGGGTCTCATTCCCTGACCCTGATAGAGCCTCCAATGTGGCACTTGCTAAAATCTCAGGGCTAGGGGGAATGGAGATGTTACTGGTGCCTGCTCAAGAAAATCAATGAACAACAGGACGACAGTGATATATATGCACACACAAAAAAATATGTATCTGTTACATTCAGTAAAATCTCAGAATTGCTCCTATTTCAGGAGCCAGTTATCCCACAGTTATCTGAGTTATCTGAGAAGTTTTGTTGTAAATAAAGACATAAGTTTACATCTGCTCTCTCTTACACTGGAATATGATTCTGTTGTGTCTCTATAGACTTTCCCTTTTGTACATAGTCACAAAGAACAGGATCAAAAATGATAACTTTTTTATTCCTATGTTGTTGAAAATTAACTGCAGTTTTTGTGAATTTTTTTTCCACCAAAATAGCTAGATTTTTGTCTCTTTCTTTTTCAACTCGTACTCTAAAACTTGTTATGTTCTAAGAAGGAAATTTATTACTCACATCCAAAACCTGATAAAATTTCTTTTAGTAAATGACACCAGCTCCATTTACAACTATAATCAGGCAAAAACAAAATAAAACCCTTTCATAACACTTGCTTATATTACATTATTATATTAGAAAATACATGAGTTAGAAGAGCTTAAAAAGACAAGTGTAATATCTGCAAGTTCTATATTCACTCCCCCTTTATTTATTTATTTATTTTTCTTTTTGGGTCACATCTGGCGTTACACAGGGGTTACTCCTGCCTCATATACTCAGGAATTACTCCTGGTAGTGCTCAGGGGACCATATGGGATGCTGGGAATCGAACCCGGGTTGGATGCGTGCAAGGCAAATGCCTTACCTGCTGTACTATCGCTCCAGCCCCCGGTCCTTTTAAAACATGTTGTAAAACTTAACTCAGGCTTTATACCAGGTACAGTTCATCTCAGGAGGGTCAGACAAACTGTCCTTAAGTCAAAGGAATGGATAGTAATTGCTGGTTGGGGTGTGAAATCCCTAAAGTAGTGTCCTAAGTGTTACCCTCCCAGCAGTCTTATTAAACACTTCCTGAAATTGTCATTAAATTTTGACAGTGGCCAGAGAGACAGTATGGCAGGGATTAGACACTTCCACACAGCTGACCTGGGTTTGATCCCTGGCACTGCATATAGTCTCCACCCCCACTGCCAGCTCTGCCAGGAGTAATTCCTGAGCACAGAGCAGGAGTAAGCCCTGAGCACAGATAGGTATGGCTGTAATTGGCAGGAAAAAAAAAAACCCTGTGATATTGTTTTTTAAGGAACAGTTGGTTTCTGTTTCTCATTTTTTATTTACTGACTCCATCCAAATATGTAGTAATTGAAGAATTTCCCTCCTCCCATTATCACTTTTTTTTTGTTTTTATTTTGCTTTTTGGGTCACACCCAGCGGTATACAGGGGTTACTCCTGGTTCATGCATTCAGAAATTACTTCTGGCGGTGCTCAGGGGACCATATGGGATGCTGGGAATCGAATCCAGGTCGGCCAGCTGCAAGGCAAATGCCCTACACGCTGTGCTATCACTCCAGCCCCCAGCCCATTATCACATTTGGGAAATATAGTTATTATTCTCATGACTGCTCACAACACAACACTTAGATATAATGAAATTTAACTAGCACTACTTATTAGTGGACTTGTCTGATTATTAAAAGTCTTGATCTGATTTTAACACATTTGTTTTTATAGCCACTGAATTATGAAGAGAGACAGCAGGTGAGCCTGCAAATTGGTGTAGTTAATGAAGCTCCATATTCGAAAGAGACTGGATCGAGACCACCCATGAATACAGCAACGGTTACCATTAATGTTAGAGACCAGGATGAGGGTCCTGAGTGCGTTCCCCCCCTGCAAACCACTCGAATCAAAGAAAATTCCCCAGCAGGAACAAGAAGCAATGGATATAGAGCATATGATCCAGAAACAAAAAGTAGCAATGACATAAGGTATTTTATATTTTTCCAAATTTACTATTCTAAAAATGTATTACTTGTTTTGCTTTTGATGCCAGTATTTTAATTTGGCTTATGATCTGTTTCGCTATCATTAATAGGTATAAGAAATTAACTGATCCTAAAGGGTGGGTCACTGTGGAAGAAAATTCAGGATTAATTACAGTTTTCAGAACTCTGGATAGGGAGGCTGAGAATATAAGAAATGGTATATATAATATTACAATCCTGGCATCAGATAAAGGTAAGAACTTTGTTTCCAAGTTGCTAAATAATTCTGGACTACGTGCATATTCTCTTTGTAAATGAACAGTGTACAGTTTTGTCAGCTACATACGTTCTCAACTTGCATATCTCCTCACATGACGTACAAGAAAACTAAGTTTTATTAGTGTTTAACTATAATTTTTAAAATGATATCTACTTTTTAATAGTGTCATAGATAGTTTAATTCTAAGATAGTTTAATTATAGAAAAATAGAACTAGAAAACAGTATTTTCTTTTTTTAGGAAACTGACAATATATTTGGGGTTTGTAATTCTCATTAAGGATGTTGTATAAAAATGCATTATATTTATGATTCACTATGACTATCACTATCCTCCCGTTGTTCATCGATTTGCTCGAGCGGACCCAGTAACATTGTGAAACTTGTTACTGTGTTTGGAATATAGAATGCGTCATGGGGAGCTTGCCAGGCTTTGCCCTGTGGGCGAGATACTCTCAGTAGCTTGCCGGGCTCTCTGAGGGGATGTGGGGGAATTGAATTCGGGTCAGCCATGTTGGCTGCGTGCAAAGCGAACGCCCTACCTGCTGTGCTATCGCTCCAGCCCCATATTTATGATTAAATATTTTATTTATATGCAGTATCCTTGATCAGGATATCAAAATAATTTGTGCATGAAAATAATTTAGTGCCTAAGATATAATTTTATCATAACATATATTTAAACTTTGTATCACAGAAAAATAAATATGCTACTTATAATAAATAGAATTTACAAGCGATTTTAGAAGGATACTTCACATCCAGTTAAAGACTGCCCTTTAAATCCTCAGCTTCTCATGGCCTTCATCAAAGACAATTGTATTAGGTCAAAGAAAATTAAAGAAGGAAACTAATGAGAAAAGTACAGAAGTTTCAAATATTTAATAACACTTGGCAATTTCTTGAGACAAAAATGAAAAATTATTGTCTGAAATTAGATGACTTGGGTTATAATTTTATATCACACCTTCTCTGTGGCAGTGAATAAAATAATCAAGAGATTAGATATTTTATGAAGTTTCATTGTTAATCATCATTGTGCTCTAGAGGTGTTTGTGAAGGTGGCTGATGCCCCCCACTGGGGCCCTGGACCAGTGGAGGGTAACAGCTTGCCCTGAAGGGAGGGAAGAAGGTTGCATTGGTTGTTTTCTGTTTGGTTCCTCAAAGAAGGTAGATTTCCAGGGGGCATTGGATGATTTTTTTTTTTCCAGTAAAGGGAACAGTAGGCCAAATAAATTTGGGAACTACTGGGTTAGAAAATATGTGCAATGGGACTTTCCCATTCACTTCTTTTTCAGATAAGTAATTCTGTTTCTTTAATTTCATAAACACATCATTCCACAGGATTTTCGTTTGTTTCTGCCTTTGCTTTTTCTGAAATCTGTACTACTTTCCTCTGGGACCTCCCTACTGCTTCCTAGTGGAAATTCTCTCTCCTCTTGAACATAGACCATGGGCCTCACGCTGGCTTCTCACTCTCCACTTTGCTACAACACTTACTTGCTCTTTTTGAAGTGCTCGCTTCTTTATCTCTCATGGTTATATTTGTCACGCATTCTTCTATCTGTTTTCTGAGTTTTCTAATTTCCCTTACCTATGTTAAGAAGCATGGCCATTTCTTTTCCTCTTTTCTTTTTTTTTCCTTCTTTTTGGGTCACACCCAGCAATGCACAGGGGTTACTCCTGACTCATGCACTCAGGAATTACTCCTGGCGGTGCTCAGGGGACCATATGGGATGCTGGGAATCGAACCCAGATCAACCGCGTGCAAGGAAAACACCCTACCTATTGTGCTATTGCTCCAGTCCCATGGCATCAAGGTCAATTTTGTTTTTCTTTTTTGCCTCTTTGTTTTTGTCATTGTTGCATATCCAGCGGTCAAACTATTGCTTGCAGTGTTGTGCTTGTGGTGAGAACCAGGGACTTCACATGTTCTGTGGAGCTGGGAATCACAGCAGCAGCCCCACCACGATCTCACTGAACCATATGGGATCACACTTATAGCCTCAAACCCACAGGGCAAGCGCTCTACCACAGAGGCACATCTGCAGAGCCTTCTAAATCCAAACTCTTGTGTATATATGGGCTCCAGCGATAGCACAGCAGGTAGGGCGTTTGCCTTGCATGCAGCTGACCCGAGTTCAAATTGTCCGCCCCTCTCAGAAAGCCTGGCAAGCTGCCAAGAGTATCTCGCCGGCGCGGCAAAGCCTGGCAAGGTACCCGTGATGTATTAGATATGCCAAACACAGTAACAAGTCTCACAATGTTACTGGGTCCACTGGAGCAACTTGATGAACAAACAGGAGGACAGTGACAGTGACAGTGTATTCTCCAGTGAATAAAGGAAACAAGTTTTTTTCATCAATTGTTGGAAAACAGAGCTGTTAGATGATTAAGGTTTTTGGTTGGGGTATTTGGCTTCATACTAGTATTGATCGTAAAGGGCAAAGAAAAGGAGTTTACTACACAATTCTAGATGTTAATGAAAGGGAATTTTAACCATTTAGCATGGTAGTTGGTGAGTTAACACTGTTTAGGTCACTTTTAATGAGAAGGCAGTTAACCATATTCAGTTGGTGAGACACATGCATACAGATGGTGAGTTAGTCTTCTGATTGGTCATTACTATTTTTATCTACTTCTTATCATCAGTCTTTCTCATTTCAGAATTTAAACATTCAGTCTCATATTAAATACATAGTAGTTTATTTATTTTCTGATTTTGTATTTTTCCTTTCTATCCCTTGACCCCAATTTAACCAACAGTTTTATAGTTACCTCTCCATACTATTCTGTAGCCCAATTTTTAGAATTAGTTCTTAATTTTAGGGCTTTGACTCCTGACCAGTGATCATAGTAGAAATTTTAAAAATCCTTTTGTATTGGTGAAGAGTGTGAGTGCAGGACTTTCCTCTGTTTTCCCTAGGTCAGAGGCTTCCTGTAAGGCATAGCCCCAGCTAGAGACTTGCACATTTATGTATTTTTTTTAAAAAAAAATTCTCATTCCTTTCCAAGTCTCCTTTAAAAAAATGTTGTTGTTTGTTTTGTGGACTGTCCTGGCTGTGCTCAGGGTTTACTCCTGGCTCTGCACTCAGGAATCACTTCTGACAGAGTTTGGGGGACTATTAGCAGTGCCCAGCGTCAAACCCAGTCAGCCACATGCAGAGCAATGATCTTACCTGCTGGACCATCTCTCCAGCCTAACCATTTTTTCTAATAAGCAGAAACAGTAAATGGATTTGAGATAGCACTTCTGGGTGTCTGTTCAGCTTTGAATCTCCACAGCCGTATATCAAGTAGTGCCTTTACCTATGACTGCTTCATCTGTGGATCCCATATTTTCTAGTATAATACTTTGGAAAAGTATTTACTATTTATTGCATACTTATAGAGATAAATTATGTAGACTATCCACTTTTGCATGTTTCCCTTTCTTGGTTTCTTTGCCCTTTGTACACTTTTATGTACTATTCTGATCTAGTCTTCCAAATACATCGGGTTTTCTATCTAAAGCCTTAAGTGTTTCCTCTCTGTATGTTAATATCTCACCTCCCTAGTGTGGCTCTTAGGAACCCTGATACTTCTTTCCAGAGGCAGCTTCCTTCAGCCTGCCTTCTCCTTCAGTGTAGTTGAGGTAGAGCAATTGCATTGTGATTTCTCATTTCCATGAATTTCCTTGTGCTTCTAATTGTAATAGGAATGTCTTTGCCTCCTCCTTCCTTATCTCCTTCTTTCCTTCCTTCCTTCCTTCCTTCCTTCCTTCCTTCCTTCCTTCCTTCCTTCCTCCCTCCCTCCCTCCCTCCCTCCCTGCTCCCTCCCTCCCTTACTTCCTCTCTTTTTTTAATAAGTAAAACAATTTTCTTTAGACTGTGAGGAAGGAGATAGATTCAGGAGGAGAGTGCTGAGTGTACACAGACCTAGATAAGGGTCACCTTCCAGAAGGGGGAAGCACCTCTGTTTTTTATTTTCCTTTAAAAAACAGTCAGAACTCAACTTTGAAAAAGTTCTCATGTCCATTGCAGCTATTTTGTAGTGAATGATGAATCTAAAAAGCAGTTGTATTCTGTACACTTGAAAGTGCTGATAATTTTCTTTTAACATTTCCTTAGGATGTATAGATTGTGACTGTTGTAGGTACTGTTCATAAGTGTTTGTATATATATCTAAGAGATGTTCTAATATGTTCTTGTATAATTTCCCAGTGGAAATGCAAAACCTAAAAAAAATTGTACTTTTAAATCTGATTTTCCTAGATGGACGGTCATGTACTGGGACATTGGGAATTATACTTGAAGATGTGAATGATAATGGCCCATTCATACCTAAACAGACGGTGATAATCTGCAAACCTGTGATGTCAAGTGCAGAGATTGTAGCTGTCGATCCAGATGATATCTCAAATGGTCCACCCTTTGATTTTAGCTTGGAGGGTATTTCTAATACTGAAACAGCAAGAATGTGGAGACTGACAAGAATTAATGGTATGTATTTCTTATTGTTTCTTTGTTCTCTTCAGTATTGGAATGGCTAAATACTTCTTTTTCTCTGATTATAGGTACTGTGTTGGAACTGTCAATGAAAGAAAACCGCTTTCTTCATTTTTGTTGTAGCAGAAATGGACATCTCTAGTACTTATTTAGAATCAAAGCTGTGTTGCTTACATTCTTGCTCCATTACCCACACAGGGGTGTGGTTAAGGTGTATGGAATGTGTGTGAGTGTGAGCAAGTGAGTGAGGGAGAGACAGAGACAGACAGAGACAGACAGAGTCATGGAAACAGGGTGGATCAGGTCTAATCCATTTCCTTCATTAGATACCTCCTACTACATCAGTGTTTCATGTATTAGTAGTATTTTAGATCCCCAGTAACACAGTTCTTCCTTCAGTTTATCTGGAAGTAGACTTTCTCAGGCAGAACGTTTAAGGGCTTTGTTTGGCATGAGTAGTTGTGGTAGCACATTAGGGTTCTACTTTCCAAATTCTGCTCTGTGAGAGATTTGTCTAGGCAAAAATAGGATAGCTGCAACCCAGGCCAAAGAACAGCCCAGGAACCCTGTAGAGGTTCAAGCTAACCTCCCTTCAGAGTGACCCCACAAGGTCTCCGTGCTCCCCTGGTTTAGCCAGTGAATCAGGAGATGACCTTTGGTCCTAAGGCATAATCACTGTTACCTTTCCACACTAGTGGACAAAAGACCTTGATTGCCTCAGAATCTGAGTCTCCTTTCCATCCCTTCCCTTTGTGCCTGCACTGGCTTCTGACCATTTCTTGTCCATTGTTCTCTTGAAATTCTCTGCATTCTGAGTCCTGCACTGATTTTCTGATTTTACCCTGAGAAGCACCAAAGGTTGATAACGAATAACAAAAGGGAAGGAAAATGGAGTCTTAACTATTCAGCACATCTGCAATCTACTGACTGCAAAACTCAGGGATATTAGATCTCAGGGTCCTAGTCTCTGTATGCTCTGTGACATGACTCAGACATTGTGTTTTGCCTTTAAAATGCCCCTGGATATTCTTCATCTTCATTGGTTGGAAATATTCTTCATTTCCAACTCTGACAAGTTGAAAAACAAAAGTTGGGAGAGAAAGGAAAGGGAAACTAGGATGGGGGCAAAAAATTAGGACACTACAGAAGTTGTGGTAGCACATAAGCTTCTACTTTCCAAATTCTGCTCTGTGAACTGACTGTATTTTGAGTCTCATTTAACAACAACATTCTGGGATTTGTGTATGTAGTTTATAAACTTTTTTTTTTCTTGGGAAGAACTAATCTTATTTTCAGATTTTGTTCTTTCTGCTTATTTGGTGTTTTGTGTCTTTCTTTTCAAATAGTATTGAAGGTTGTGGTAATTTTTTAAGAAGTATTTATATTTAGCAAATAAGGTGATTAAGTATATTTTGGATCAAACTTTTATTATTTTGAAGTTTGATGAGTCTGTTAAGCAAAAAAAGCTGGGAAATATAAACTTAATAACAAACCCTATGGGCCGGACTGATTGTACAATGGGTAGTGCATTTGTCTTGCTCATGGCTCACAGTTTGATAACACAAGCTTGTCCTTTCTTTTCCTGCAGGGAACTTAGGTTTATTGAGTTACTCCTACAACAGTGCCCCTGAGTCATATCCAATTCCATCAGGCACACTTGGTGATGCTCAGGAGTTACTCCTGGCTCTGCACTCAGGAATCACTCCTGATGATGCTCAGGGAACCACATGGGATGTCGGGGATCGAACCCAGGTTGGCTGTTACAAGGCAAATTCCCTTTCCACTGTGCTATCACTCTGGCACCGCCAATGTATTTTAAGCCATAATGGTTTAAATGGTCACAATTGTCTCTGATAAAAAGTTTAAGTGTGTTTGGCTCACTATATGAAAATAAAGTAAGGGGAAGTATCTAGAAGTTCAGTGATATTATTGAAGATAAATGATGTATGAAAGAAAATATTACACTGAATAGTTCTATTAAAATTCAGAAGTTGTGGGGCCATAGATATAGTGCAGTGGGCAGGGTGCTTGCCTCACATGTAGCCTACGTGGGCTCAAAATCTCAGCACCTTATATGTTCCCCAAGCCCTGCCAGGAATGCTCCCTGAGCACATAGGTTGGTGTAAATCCGGAGCAGTAGCAGATGTGGTCCAACCCCTTCCCCACATATTCTAAAGTTGTGTTCAAAATCAATCTCTTAACAAGTCTTTCAGTTTGAGAGCAAAAATTTGTTTGAACGCTGATAATTACAAGAGCTGAAAGGTTTTTTGTTGTTGCTGAGGATCAGAACTGTTCAATCCATTCACCTTTCCAGTCTTGTAGCATCAAGAATATTAATTCAGGGGCTAGGGTGATAGCACAGCAGGTTGGCGTTTGCCTTGCATGTTCTCGACCTGAGTTTGATTCCCAGCATCCCATATGGTCCCCTGAGCACTGTCAGGAGTAATTCCTGAGTGCATGGGCCAGGAGTAACCCCTGTGCAATGCTGGGTGTGACCCAAAAAGAAAAAAAAGAAAAAAGAACATTAATTCATAATAGAACCTGTTGACTACCCTATCAGTAGTTATGTATCTCAGGAGAAATCAATGACATTTTTTAATGCTTGGCTTCACTTTTTATTATTTTTCCAGATACAGCAGCACGCCTTTCCTTAGAAAGAAGAGATGCCCCATTTGGATCATATCGAGTACCTATCAGAGTAACAGATAGACATGGCCAGTCACGGGTGACTGCAGTAAACGTGTTATTGTGTGACTGTGTGACCGAAAATGACTGCACTATTCGCTCAGATGCAAGGACAGGCAGTGGAGAAATACGACTTGGAAAGTGGGCCATCCTTGCAATACTGTTGGGCATAGCGTTGCTATTTTGTAAGTCCTATCACAGATGTCAGCAATAGCCTTTAGACTAACTTTAGAGTTAACATTAGTAGATTCAGTATTGTCAATAATAACTATTCATTTATATATACCTACAGATTTTTAAATATTACAACCATTTTATATTTATGCAAAGGAAGACAAAGTTGACATTCATGTGGTAATTCAGAATTAAAGCTTTTTTTTTTTTGAAGTGGGGTTGCATCCAGTGATGCTCAGGGCTTACTCCTGGAACTGTGCTCAGGAATCACTCCTGGGGAAGCTCTGGGGACCTTACAGGGTGCCTGGCATTGAGTCCTGTAAGCCGTGTGCAGTTTAAGTGCCCTGCCCCCCATACTGTCACTCTGGCCTCCAAATTTAAGCATTCTTGTGACATCTCCCTTTTAGCGAACTTCTTCAGGGTTCATATAAACAGGAGTAAGTATGGAGAAACATAATTCTAAATTGTGATTAAGTTAGATTTAGTTCAATTTATTTTAGTCACTGAAACATGATATTTTTACTTCATTCAACAGATAATCTTCTATACATACAATGATAAAATATCCGAATTATTGACAATCACCAGTAATATTTACTGGATACTAAATTTGAATTTTACCAATTTATCTGTCTCTCCTATCTACATATCTTAGCCATCCATTATGACAGTACATTAGAATCAATTTGAGAAGGTTTCTAACCAAATGTCAGTGTATGACTCATGCCCAGATAATTGGGTTTGTTTATTTATTTATTTTGGAGTTTGGATCATACTGGGTGATGCTCAGGATTTATTCTTAGCTTTGTGCTCAGGGGAACCACATATGGTGCCAGTGATGAAACCTAGTACAGCAGAACACAAGGCAAGCCTCCTGTACAATCTCTCTTGTGCCTTGTTTTAAGTTTTGTTTTTATTTTTAATCCAGAGTTACTCGGGACTGAAGAGATAGTATAGCATAGAAACTATCGTGCTTGCCTTGCATGCAGCCAACCCATATTCTATCCCAGTGCTGCGTAAGATCTATCAAGTCTGCCAGGAGTAATCCATGAATGCAAGGCCAGGAGCAAGCCCTGAGCACTGCTAGGTGTGGCTTGAAAACCAAGTAAATCAATACACAATCCCTTGACTGGAAATTATTTTTCAGAGAATACTTTTGAGTTTTGTTTTTATGGGTGAACACTAACAGTGTTCATAGCATGATCCCAGTCATTCAGTGTATAGTGAGAGTATCTTCCCTATGTATTACATGTGACATGTTAATAGCAGTTATTCAAAGAAATGATAATGGAACAATTGTATGCCCGTAAAAACCACTAATTATAAGAGAGGGTTTTCTTCCTTTTCCATATTCTTTTCAACACATTTAATTATGTACTGGAAGTGGATCTCTTTCTAGCTTTAGTATTTCATCATGGGTGTGAAGTTCAGTGTGGAAATCCAGTATTGAACCAGTCTTTGCGGCAGATCCAGTTCTTTTGTATATTGTTTTGATACAGGCCACTGTGTGTGTGTGTGTGTGTGTGTGTGTGTGTCGAAAACTGTCTTAGTGTTAGTTATCCTAAACTCATAACTTCTCCTTATTTTATGATAAAGCAAGCTCATTGCTCTTCCACTCCAGGTATCCTATTTACCTTAGTCTGTGGCGCTACTCGGACAGCTGAAAAGCCAAAAGTATTTCCAGATGACGTAGCCCAGCAGAACCTCATTGTTTCTAATACTGAAGCTCCTGGTGATGACAAAGTGGTAAGTACTATCTTATTTCAAAAGAAGAAAGGGCAACTTGGTCTGGCCAACTCTAAGTTTTCTTCGGAGATATTTCTGATACCACTTAACTTAGACTTGTAAGATGTCATCAATCCCATGGAACACACAAAATGCCATTGGCTTGCATTTTGATATATGTATGGCATTTTAATTTAGTCATCTAGTGTCACATAATGGTTAAAGTCCTGGTTATTATTATTATTTAATACTTCAAATGTTTCATGGTTTCAACTTAAGGTCTTCTCTTTTTTATATGCTAAAAGTGCTGTTTGTGCTATAAAAATGTTCCATTTAATTACTCATAGATCATCAACATAATTATTTTTTTTTCCCCTGGCAGCGGTAATAAAATGACTGCAAGCTTTGATGAGTGTGGGAAAAACTTTAATGGAGACTTTCTGGTTCATATATAGAGTAGGCAGAAGCTTGAGGTCAAATGTATGAAACTACAATAACAAGTGAAGGTGTTACTCTAACTTTGAGTTCTCTAGTCTAGTGTATAGCTTCTTTCATGAGGAAGAACTAAATTCTTCTAAGAAGCATGATCAAGCGGCCTTGACGGCATAGTGGTGAGAATAACTGCCTTCCAAGAAGCATAATCATAATCAGTGATTAGGCAGTGATGATTTAGAATATAGCAAGATGTTGGAATTTAGGGAGGTATTAATAAAAATGAAACAAGGTTTATTTAAAATATAAAATTGGCTGGAGTGATAACACAGTGGGTGGGGACAGCAGATGGGGCATTTGCCTTGCATATGGCAGACCCGGGTTCTATTCCCAGAATCCCATATGGTTTCCTGAGCACCACCAGGGGTAATTCCTGGGTGCAGAACCAGGAGTGACCCTTGAGCGTCACCAGGTGTGACCCAAAGGGCAGGAAAAAAATTAAAATTAAAATAAAATTTAAAAAAATTAAAAAATGAGTGGTCAAACCTCTGGTGCTCTTATTTTCCTTGCTTGATATATTTATAGTTATTTACATTTTAATGATGTTTTATAGCAGGTAATTATTTTTAATTTAGTTGAAAGAAAACCAGATTAGACACTATAAAATTACTGAGATATTTCTTTTTCCACTCTAGACAAGTGAAGGAAATAAATTTTAAGCAGAGCAAATAATGTGAGACAAATGTCCTATATCAGAGTATGAGAGGGCTAGAAAGTTTTAACAAATAAAGTTGGACGGTTTTCCTTTTTTTGTGTTTTGTTTTTCAACCAAACCCAGATTTATTTAGGACTCATTTGCTGGCAGGGCTTTAGGGACCATATGGGGTGCTGGGGATCAAACTTGGGTTGGCGCATGCAAGGCAAAGGCCCACACTCTTTCCAGTGCCTAGTTTTCCAAGATTTTAAAGAAGAAATGTGTATTAAATGTTAACTTTTCTGATTTGTCTCAAGATATGAATCATTTGACTTCTACGATAGTCTCTTAATATTGAGCACTGCATGAAGTACCGGGGTTACATAGTTAGGTATGCAGGATTACTAAGAGTGATTTAGTTTCTACTTAGAAAAAACTTAACTTCTACCTCAAAAATTCTTGGCATTATCTGCATGGCACTGGCCTTTGATTATTGTATTGATGGCTTTCCTTTTTGTATTTCCCTTACTCACCTCTCTCATTTCAGTTTTCAGCAAATGGCTTCACATGTACAACCCATACTTCTGGCAGTTCAGCTCATGGAATGGGTGGCACCTCGGGAGGAGGAGTGAAAAATGGACAGGAGATCATTGAAATGGTGAAAGGAGGACATCAGACCCTTGAATCCTGCCAGGGGGCTGGGCATCATCACACCCTGGATTCCTGCAGGGTAGGGGGGCAGCACACCCTGGATTCCTGCAGGGGTGGACACGTGGAGATTGACAACTGCAGATACAATTACTCCGAGTGGCACAATTTCACTCAGCCTCGTCTTGGTGAAGTAAGTTTCCTAAATTGTCTAGAAATGTTTTGATTTCATTTCAACTTTCAAAATGATTGCACTTCAGTGATCTGATATTTATTTCAAATTAATGATTAATATTCTGATTAGAACATTGTCTTCCTTAATTTTGGTATCATTCTGTTTAGATGCTAATTGGATATTTACTCTTCCTCATATTTTGTGTGGTTTTTAATTCTTACTGAAACACGATGGTAAACAAATTTTTATTTTTATTTTTATATCTCTTTGTGTTAATATTTCTTACATGACAAATCCTGTCATATTGAAACCCAGTGTGGGTGTGGGCAGTTCCAGCCCACATAGTCATGGTGCCTTTTTTTGGAAAGATGAATCCACTTTAATTTGGCTTCATTTCACTTCAGCCATCATTTTGAAAGTTTAAGTAATGACTACTTGTATACTTGCTGCCACATATGGGACTTTTGGAAACATGGTGTATAATGAATTTATAGTGTGATTTATGATCAGACCAATCATGTGCATTTTTTATATGTAGGAATCCATTAGAGGACACACTCTGATTAAAAATTAAACAATGAAAGGTAAATCAAAGCTATTACTTTTATGTTACTAAGTCTTGGTGTTAAAATAATAAAAATAAAATATGTTGTGTTTTTCCCCCTGGCAGAAGGTGCAGTTCTGTGATCAGGATGACAGTCATCAGCTTGCTCAAGATTATGTGCTCAAGTACAGCTACGAAGGAGGAGGGTCTGTCGCAGGTTCTGTAGGTTGTTGCAGTGAACGACAAGAAGAAGAGGGACTTGAGTTTTTGGATCATTTGGAACCCAAATTTAGGACACTAGCACAAGTATGCATGAACAGATGAGTGCGTACTAGGATAAGTCTACAAAAACAAGTGGCATTATTGCCTTCTCTTTTTCTTAAATAACAAACTGGTGTTTTTTGTTTTGTTTTTTAAAGAAGATATTATATATATAGAGATCTCCCCACTGTAAATTTCATAAAATCTCTTTACTCAATGTGGACTTACAGAGAGATTCTGTAATGAGTACACAACTTACTCAATGTTTACCTAGTTTTTAACAACTTGCCTTTCACTAAAGGAAATCTACAAATAGAAAATTAGGGAAGTCTGCATTATTGTTTACACCAAGCATGATGACAAATGGCATTTATAATGCAATGAAATGCATTCATTTGAGCCTATCTTACAGATAACTTAAAGTGCAACCCATTAGAAAATTTTAGATTTTTAACATGCTTCCACATTATTGCCAGTTACCTAATCAATTGAAGTGGTGCTTGAAAACTGTTATTCTTATAAACATTCTAAGGTATTCAAATTGAATTATTGCTATTGCCATGTTCTTATAACATGAATTTTATTCATAATACAAAAACCAATATTGTCAATCTTAATTATATTGCCTATTTTTACTGTTCCATTTGAGCAAGTTTAGTTTCTAGGTTGTATTCTGTATTAAGTCCTGCACTGAATCTGTATTTCCTCTGTTAACTCTCTTGACAGTGAAATTTAGTATTAAATAATACCTTAAGGTAGTGTTATTCCTGCAAAGCTTTAGGTTTTAGTATCTCCCTTTCTTTCTTCCATCCCCATTTTCTTTTCCCTTCTTCGTCATATCTCTCCCTTTCATTTTCACCATCAACTCCCTCCTTTTTCTTTTCTTTTTCTTTTAACATTCCTGTTTAGATTTGGGACTCTAAATAATTTTTATACAGAAATGTTCTGATTCTTCCTTAAAGTGAGTTATTCTTTTTTTTTTTGCACAGGTATTCCTAGCTGTCCATAAGATCATTGTAATGTTGACATTTTATTTCAAATATTGTGGTAATTCCTTTCTATCCTCAGTATAAGCTTGCCTTTGTAACGTAGAAATACGTTATGATTTTTATTAGACAAAACACTTCATTAGAAAAAGGAATAGTGAACTGAAGTTGAGGTCAAGATATTTACTACATAGCATATTCATAGATAATGTCTTTAATGTAGGTGTAAGGTTTATAGGTGCAAAATTATAGTGGTCTTTTAAAAATTAGCTTGGAAATACAGGGAATTAGAAGTGTTTTAGAAGTAACTATTGTGTGACTTTTAATATGAAATATGACTAGTCATGTATGTGTATCACTGTAGCACTGACTGACCTCCCATTGTTCATCAATTTGCTCGAGCAGTCCCAGTAAGTCATAGTTACTTTTTAAGATTATATATTTAACAGATACATAAGTGAGCCTAACTTAAATTTTTGAAATAATAGACACAATTTATGCAAACCAAATTCAATCCCTTATAGTTAAATTCAGTCAATGAATTTTATTTTCTATGCGTACAAATACACTAATATTTATTGTTAATAATGTGCCTATGTTAAATTCACAGGTTGACTTGTAACAATTATCAAGAATTAGAATTGGGAAATTAATGAAGTTTATATTTTCATAGTGTCATTACTGTTCAAAAATACTATTTAAAAGTTATTTGTAATACATTTTGTACAGAATTCTTGTATATTACTAGTTGTGATAAAGGAAATTAGTAGTTTTAAAGGTCTGTTTATTGAAAATGCGCCTAATATCAGTTAATGGGATTATGTTTTTTAACTCAAAGGATTGAGTCTCATCTTTAGAATCTTGTCCTAAATATTTTAGAATTTTCAAATTTGACTTGGAGAGTTTATTTAACCATTGCTATCACTACATTTATATTCTAAAGACTGCAAAGCTGTGGGTTGGGATATTAGTTAAGTTACATACTCTCTCTGTGTTTTATTTTGCTTTGGTTTTTTCATCATAAAATGGTTAATAACAGCAATTTTCAAGGTGGCTGTAAGACTTTTGAATAAAAATGGCTTAAGCTTGAAAGTTATACAGTCATATACTCAAAAGATACTTTTAGTAAGAATAAATAATTTGGGGGACTGGAACAATAGCACAGTGGGTAGGGCATTTGCCTTCACGCAGCTGACCCGGGTTCGATTCCCAGCATCCCATATCATTCCCTGAGTACCGCCAGGGGTAATTCCTTGTGCAGAGCCAGGAGTTAACCCTGTGCATTGCCGGGTGTGACCCCAAAAAAGCAAAAAAATAAATAAATGAATAAGTAAATAATTTGAACTAACCACACCTACAATGCATTTCCTATTAGCAAAAATCAATTATGGAAACAGGGTAATGGAAATGTGTTGCTATAAAGTTGTCAATTGACAGAAATATCTCTTCATAAAACTTACCTGACAATAGCCAATCCATTCGGGACTTATATCACAAAGATTATTAGAAGTGTTTATTTAAAATTTCCATGATTAAAACACTATTACTTAAAACTTCATTTAAAATGGATGGAAAGTAGAATATCTTAAAAAGGACACAAATTCTAGGGTTGTTTAGGCTGATATATGCTTCTGGTTTCTCCTGACAAATCTTTTCTTACTGTTTTTCTCAACCGTTCTCTAGAGAAATTTGTTTTAGACGGAAGCTATCACCTACTTGGAAATTTAAGGCTCTTTGATAGTAGCTGTGGTAACCCTAAATGCAGGTGCCAAAGAGTGTCTTGATTCAAATACCAATTCCACACCTACTAGCTAAGTTATTAAGAAAATCACTTAAGCTGTGAATCTGGTTTCCTCACTTGTGTTTTGTACAGAGGATGGGAGGAAATTGCTTTATAATTTTGTTGCCATGATCAAGAAAATTAATTCATAAGCCCTGGCACAGAGTTGGCACTCAGTACACATTAGCTACTACTATTATCTAATGAGAAAAGAATGTTTTAGTTGGGAAAAATCACATCTTTCCTCGACATTCTCCTTTATAGCTGGCAACTTGTTGTCATGTTGCCATTCATTTTCCCAGAAGCCTGGCATGCCTGTTGTTTTCTAGTACTTTACTCTTATTATACAAAAGACAAATATGTATCACATTGAATCAGAGGCACCTGCAGTAGTGAAGATGCAAAAAAGTTATTGTTACATTTCAGTGTGTAGAGCATTTTAATTAATCACTTAATCACTTAACTTCCCGTTAGTCGTCGATTTGCTCGAGCGGGCGCCAGTAACGTCTCCATTTGTCCCTGTTGCGTGCTAGTGTAGCCCAATGGCATCTCTTCGCTCCGGGAACATGGAGGGCCTCAAACCGATCGTTCATGATCTTGACAAAGAAGTCTGACCATCTGGTAGGTGGGCGGCCACGCGGTCTCTTGACATCCCGTGGAATCCAATCAGTAACAGCTCTAGTCCAACGGTCGTCTTTAAATCTCATTACGTGACCAGCCCATCTGATTTTCGACACCTTGGCATATGAGACAGCGTCCCTGATCCTTGATCGTCGACGGATGTCAGAACTCCGGATTCGTTCTCTCATTTGAGTGAAACGTGATATTCCAAGCATAGCTCTTTCTATTCTAGAGCATTTTAATTACCGAAACTTAAAACTGAGGATCCTCAGTTGCAATCCCTTTGTTTATATAATATATCCTATTTATTATCTCAAATTGCCAAACTTTCTGAAAAGTTTGAGCACAGTTTTATTCATGAATTTATATTTTGTAGAGGTTTCTACTCTTCACACTGCACTCATGTAAGGTTTTCCTGATACAGGCTGTGCTGTTAGGAGAATGTACAAGATGAATGCATTCATTTTTGCTGCCCACACAGTGCAGGTGTAGATGTAAGAATAGGATCACCAAGTCATACAGAACTTTTCACATGGTACTACGTGGTAAATACTCAAAACCCACTGAAAAAATTCCAAACCCTGTTACATTTAACTGGACTGTTCTAGTGAGAAAAACTGTGCATCCACTGTTCTAAGCCCACTGCTTATGAGCATGAGGTATAGCCTGTTTCTGCTAATGTCCATGTCTCTCTTGATACATTCTTCTCATCAGTGTCCTAGTTCAAACCTTTGTTCTCATGTAGCCACACTGTTTCATGAATCTAGTTCCTTTCATTTCTTCCAGTTGCCATCAAAGGACAGATACAATCCTGGCATTCTCCTAAGGACCATAGATGGTTTCAGAGTGTACATTTGAAATACAGAAGCCACATTCACATACTTATGTCCAAGACCCTACACATTCTTTATTTATGATTTTATCATAGTGAAGATTCTTTTCCAATGTCTAATCTCTTCTTATCCATTTCTTCATTTACAAAAAATGTGATTTTTTGAAGGATCAAGTTAAAATACTATCTTCTTTAACCATAAGAGAACTGTGTTTCTAAATCACATTGTAAATTCTTTTCCTTATGTTTGTGCATGTATATGAGTGAGTATATGTGCATGTGTTTTTCCTCCCTTATACAGTGGTACTAAATACAAATTAAAATGCTTACACTTGTATGCATAGGAAATTATGACCGTCAACATATTTTGATGCACCAAGTTGTATTGCCAAGGTCACAATGGAAGAAAAGTTACTACAAACTAAGTTATTTGATCCCTAGCATGCTGTATTACTTTTCCTTGACATATTTTTATTGTAGAGCTGATTTATTTAGATTATACATTGGGTTTTATCAGCATAAATAAATTGAATAAATTGAATACATAGGATATCAAACATTTTCACTCACCACTTAGTTCCAATTGGTTAGATTTTGCGTTGTTTTTTCTCTCTGAGGATCTGGGGTGGCTGATCCTTTTTGATACTGTGGCTCATAGCAACTAAATTCTTCCCATCTTCAGTGATTTTATGCCCATTTGCCACCACACTGAAATGTAACAATAACTTTTTTGCATCTTCACTACTGCAGGTACCTAGAAAACTCTCAATGTTGGTTATATGAATAAGTAAATAAATTCACTTATGCATTCGTTATCTGATTGATATTAGACTGAAGTTCTTACCCAAAGAATTTTTTTCTTCAATATAAATGAAACTCATTGATCCATGTGAATTTCATTTATGACATCATCTCATAATCAGCATGTTGCAAGATTGTAGTGAACCTAATTTTTGCTAAAGAGAAAAGCTATAGGGAAAGCAACTAAGAATCACATTTTGGGAATTCAGTAAATTACTTTTCTGAATTTGCCAAAGTCAGTTTATAAACTGGTCAAAGTAAAACCATTCTTGACTCCAGAGGTATTTTAAGAGTCCTGAAGGCATGAAAGTGGCAACAAACCTACTCTAAGTTAAACTAGGAGAATGTTCTGCAACAGGACACCATAAGAAGACCATCAAATGAAAACCAGAAGAAAATGAAAGGTTCATTGTGAGCTCAAGAACAAATGACCCTATTCCTCTGTGAGCCTGACATGTCTCGAGAAGATAACACACAACCTGTGAGACTCTGCTTTTCTCTGACCTTCTAAGGAATAGAACTTTCAGCTATTACGACAGTAAATAGCATGTCATTTTGTTTCTGATTTCTTTTGGGGGGGGGGAGGCAGTTCTGTACTTTTCTCTGTAATTTTTATTTCCACTGGGCTTAGATTTCAGTTGAAGGATCCAAATCTAAAACTATGAGATTATGCTAAGATTCTAGTAAGATTCTCTCTGCCTTCTATTAAGATTCTCTCTGCTTTCCCCCTACTTCTTATTCCAGAGGGACTTAAGTCACCTTTTTATAATATTTATTTTAAAGAAATAAGAATATTACTCATTTGTATTTTAAATTAAACATGCGGCTGACCAGGGTTCACTCTACAGTACTCCATATAACTTCTGGGAGAGCCCTACCAGGAATTATTCCTGAGCATAGAACCAGGAGTAAGCCCTGATCGCAGCTGAATATGGCCCCTAAATAAAAAAATTGAAATAAAATAAAGATAATTGGTATAAACTAACTATTCAAGGATATCCCAGTAACTCAATGATTTATAATGTTATTGTGAACTATGATTGAGGACAGTGGATGTAATGATTTTGAGCACTAGCTTGGTAATTCAAAAGACACATATTCAAATTGCAGCTTTGTTTTCACTGCCCTGATGACTGAATAACCTTGCTAAATCACAGAAGCCTCAGATTTCACGCATACAAAATAGGGTCATGGCCAGGGACTTTATTCAAAGGGATAGAGTGTGAGACCCTCATTCTTTCCCTGGTACTGTATGTCACCTGCCCCCAGTTCTATTTATAACCTTGGTAGCATATCTAGGCAGCATATCTCAAATGGGGTTTCTGGGATATTCCAAGGGAATAATGTGAAAATCATAAATAGGTTGGTAAGGGCAGGGCGTGAGACTGGAGGGTGAATTTGCAGGAACGTGGGGCAGTGTAGCATGGAAGCAAGGTATGAAGAGAGTCATGATCAGCAAAGTTTGAGAAACATGGTTCTAGAACACTCAGGTAGAGCAATACAACAAGAGTGGGGCTACAATATAATGCCCACCGTGCTGGGCAGAGGACCGTGGAGAATAACTCCCAGGTATTGATCCCCACCCTGGGGAAGGCATGTATAAAAAAATAGACACAAGTAATAATGAGATAATGAAAATTAAGGTCTCAATTTAGTGCCTTACTCATAAATATGTCAACAGTGGCAGCTATTATTGTGCTAATGATCACGGAATATCGTGCATAATCTTGACTTTGAAGATTAATTAAATTTTTAAAAATAAACAATATAGGATCAATGAAAAAGAAGAATAATGTTCCTAATCAGAATAAACTCAAAATTATGTAAATGTAAGTGTCTGTTAAATAAGGGCCGGAGCAATAGTACAGTAGGCAAGGTGCTTCCCTTGCATGCAGCCAATCTGGGGTTTTATCTGTGGTCTCTTATATGGTCCCCAAGCACTGTCAGGAGTAATTCCTGAGTACACAGCCACGAGTAACCCCTGAGTGTCACCAGGTGTGTGGCACAAAACAAAACAAAAGCTTATGTTATACAATAAAATATGGGTGGCAATCTCTAATGATGAAACTATTTCATATTTAGATGTTTTAATGGCTTCATTTTTACAATGAAATCTGATTTAAAAATCAGAGGAAATTTAAAAAGTCAAATAAAGACCAAGAAAGACTTTTAGATGTCAGGGTTTGAGATCTAAAAGTTTATATTAGTGTGTGTATGTGTGTGTGTGTGTGTGTGTGTGTGTGTGTGTATTTGTAGGGCTGGAGATAGTACAGTGGATAAGGTGCTTATTTTGCATGCTGCTCACCAGGATTCAAACCTCAAATCTCATTTGGTTCCCAGAGCCTGCCAGGAGTGATCCCTAAGTGCATAGCCAGGAGGAAGCTCTGAGCACCACTGGGTGTAGCCCCCAAACAGAAAACAGATTTGTGGGGGGGGGGGGAAACCCTGAATTTTATGTATGCCAGCCTCACAAGTAATATATGATGTTCACAGTAAATGATTATCTTGAAGTAAGAGGAAAATAGTTTATGTAAATGTAAGAATTGCAAGTATTACTTTTGGTCTTAGAATTTTTTTCTTTTAACACAGAATTTGTCATCAGCAAAGGTTTATGTTAGTCTAGATAAAGAAAAAAAATCAACTTACTAGAAACACTAAATAAAAATAAAACATTTCAAATTATCCAGATGATTTCAATGATAAGCCAAGTGAATTGGTCATTTTGCAGAAAGCCAAATTACTTCTTATTTCTCCTGTCATAGTCCTTCCTCCATGATAATGTGCCCAGTCTCCATTGGCTTATATTTTAAATACAACATTTAAAATATAAAATATAACATTGCAGTTTTGTCTGAGTCCTGAACTTTTGATTGTTTATATGTTTTGAACCATACTCAGTGGTGCTCAGGGCTTGCTCCTTTTAGGGATCACTCTTGGTGCTCAGGGGATCATATAGGATGCCAGGTATTGAACATGGATCAACCACATTCAAGAAAATCACTTCACTTGCTATAATATTTCTACAAACTCTGAACCCTGAACTTTCTGAGGGAAACAGGATGGACGGGAGCACATCTGGTGATGCTCAGTGTGTATTCCTGGCTCTGCACTTAGGAATAAATCCTGGGGTTGCCTGGAGACCATATGGGATATCAGGGATTGAACCCAAATTGACCTCATGCAAGGGAAATGCTTTACATGCTATACTATCTCTCTAAATGCCTGAACCCTGAACTTAAAAAAGATTAAAAATAGAAATCATTTTCTAATTTGTTAAAGGATACTGGATCCTTTATCTAACAAAGGTTTTATATAAACATTGTTAATATCAGTTCTCCTTTCATGCATAATAAATATGAAAACATTAAAAAAATTTATACATAATAAAAATATTTATAAAACTTTCTGTATAGTTCGTTGAGTCCTTAAAATAATTTGGGCAAGATGATGAGAGAATTTGAATACTTTTCTAGAAACCAGAATGGGATTAATTAACCTGTAGGCACAGTTTTGTTCAATAGGACTATTACTGTGTGTGATATTTCTTCAAAGAAGAATGTAAATCTTCCCGTTACAACTTAGATTTTAGTGGGGAAGAAAATCTCCAACACTAGTTACTTGAAACATTTTGATTTTAGTATACTAATATACCTCATAAATTTTTAAGAGAAGGGTTCTGAAAGTTTGAGGTTTATCTCAACTTCCTTAGAACTCAGTGCTGCATCTTTAATGAATCATATTCCTCATATGTTTGTAAGTTTTTCATTTCTATTATAAAGAAGGAGTTATACCAGATTGTATATAAAGTCAATTTCTGTTATAAGTGTCCATATACTTTATATATTTATTAAATGTGAGTGAAGTGAAATTTACTTTTAGTAAAACTTACTTAACTAATCAGTAAAACTGATTTCCAAACTTTCTCTAAGTCAAAGATATGTGCCTGTGATGCATGAGATTGCATGTCACACTAGGACAAAGGTTAGTTTAGAGTCAGTATCACACCTACAGGAAAATGGTAAATGGCCTTGAAGACATGACTTCAAGGAATAAGTGCACACCTATCTTGTCACAGGGAAGACTTTCACAATGCATTCATTTGTATATTTTTTAATCCAGATATGCATCTAAACCTTAATTGCCTACATATTCTCTTTTTTATAAGCCTTGGGTCTTTTTCAGAGAGTGGAGACTGGGTGGCTTTGGTTGGGCCACACCCAGCAGTACTTAGTGCTTCTTACTGGGGCTGTGCTTAAGGAATCTTCCTGGTGGTGCTTGCTGGATCCTCTGTGGTGACACAACCTGATGTTAAGGGGTGGTCCTTCCGAATTCTGTGTGAGGAGAAGGCTGATGGGTTGGTGAATCAGACTGACGCTGGACTAAATGACATGGAATCTGGAAATCAGCCCACTCACACCTGTAACGTTCATCTTGAGCAACGCCTCTTGAACAGGCAGATGCACACAATGAGTTCCGGGGACATGAGAACATCCAAAAGAAACTACTGTTTCACCCAGTGGGAGGAAATTCTACTGTGAAGGAAACCATGTGAAGGATCATGGGATAATTTCAAAATGAGAGGGATTAAAAGTTCATCTTGTATTAGGGCTTTGTTATATTTCTTTTGTCCAGTTATTATAAGACATTATTACTCACACAATGGCTTTTTGTTTTCTGTGTGGAAATTATTATTCCTCTATCCTTTTAGAAGTCCCTGTGTTTATAATCTTTCTTGCTTTAGTGGTATATGTGCAAAAGAGGATATTTGTAAGAGCAGCTGAAGATTTTAGTGGGGAAAGAATACAACTATTTTAATAGTCCTTGCTGTATAATTAGTAAGAAAAAATTAAAGGTGCTGATTCTGAGCTTAGCTTATCCAGTCTGGGAGGGGATTTTGTCATGGATCTGTTTTAAATAGATCATTCTGGCTGGAGCAATAGCACAGCGGTAGGGCGTTTGCCTTGCAAGCTGCTGGCTCAGCTGAGTCAGGTTCGATTCCTCCTCCCCACTCAGAGAGCCCGGCAAGCTACCAAGAATATTTAGCCTGCACAGCAAAAGCCTGGCAAACTACCCGTGACGTATTGGATATGCCAAACACAGTAACAACAAGTCTCACAATGGAGACGTTACTGGGCCCGCTTGAGCAAACTGATGCACAATGGGAGGACAGTGCTACATTCTGGACTTGTGGAAAGGACACAGGTAGCATTTTGCATGGTCATTGCCACAGTTATACACAAAGTTCCCACCTCTGTGGATGAGAGTGAGTTTTCTCCTGAAGAGATTGGATGGTCCTCCTGCCAATCATTCTGGGTAGAAATTAATGCAGGGTGAGAATGAAGGAACAGGTCCAGCACAGAAGAGGGCAAGAAATTTCTGTTCACTGGAGGTCAGAGGTCTTCTTGATCCAGACTTGTGTTTTTGTTGTTGTTGTTGTTGTTGTTGTTGTTGTATAGTGTTTCAGTGGAGGTGGAAGTAAAACAGATAGGGAAACTTGCCCAAGAAAGACAGCAAAAGAGGGAAATAAAGATTGTTGTGTGGTTCTTGCTCTGGGCAGCTATACAATGCATAAGACTATTCTTCAACTATCTGTAATACACAGATTACAAGTCATTATTTTAAATAACAAAAAATGTAGCATATTCTCAGGGTTACTCTGGGAAATTAGTAGTTTCACTTATGGTTTCGGAAGGGTGTTTAAGAAAAGCAGTGTCCTTCAGGCCAGAGTGGCGCTGGCAGAGATGGCTGAGGGAGAAAATTGGTGTTTGGTGTGAGAGAATCTGCCCATCTGATTCCCAGGCCTGAGAAAACATCTCTCTCAAAAGTCCAAGTGGATACATTAAAATGAGCAACTACCATCAAAAACTCAGGTCTGTGAGAACTCCTGGTATGTTAGGACATGTTTGCATGATATTCTTCTTTCATTGTCACATCAACAATAATTTGTTCCTTTACTATTTATGGCTACATTTTTTTTAGTAACACTCTGAAATGGTAGAATTCATTCTGTGAAACTAGGATGAACTCTTCAGAACCAATATTTTCCTTGGTTTTAATTTAAACTTTTGTTTCTAAGTTTCTCTTTTATAGTTATTTAGGTTGTGTAGAAAGGCTTGTGTGAGGAGCCCAAATTTGCCAGGCCACCGCCAGAGAAGCCTCTGAGGCGTGTAGGTGTGTGAGACCAGCACCTGCTGGGCCTGCCTTGTGAAGGAAACCATCTCCGTGGGCGGGGAGTCAGCATCTGCCTCCTCAGGCCATTTATGACACTCCACTCTCCA